CAGCTCAGGCAGATGGAACACAACCAACGTGTATCTAACACAACCAACGTGTATCTAACACAACCAATGTGTATCTAACACAACCAACGTGTATCTGACACAACCAATGTGTATCTGACACAACCAACGTGTATCTAACACAACCAACGTGTATCTAACACAACCAACGTGTATCTAACACAGCCAATGTGTATCTAACACAACCAACGTGTATCTAACACAACCAATGTGTATCTAACACAACCAACGTGTATCTAACACAACCAACGTGTATCTAACACAACCAATGTGTATCTAACACAACCAATGTGTATCTAACACAACCAACGTGTATCTAACACAGCTCACGCATCTGCAACCTCGGACTGAGGAAAAAGAGCTGAACGAAGGTAATGGGAGTGCGTGATCGGAGTGTAATAAGGACTAGCAGTTAAATTTACTCATCAAATTAGTAATCGTGGCTTACTCATTAAACTGGAGTGCATGTTATATTCTTATATATACATATGTCATTATAATCACTGTTCTGTTAAGAAACTGTAAGTTGTAGAATGGTTCATTAATCTATCAGCACTGTAAGCTGAATAAAAGCATGAAGTTTGCAGTTCTAAAGCTAGAAGGACAAACCATTGTGCCTCATTAAGTGAATGTTTTTGTATCTTATTTTCCTAAAAAGCTTATTGTCTCACAACACGCCTAAAGTAAGGAAAGAAAGGACAAGGATTGAAGAGTGAGGGACTGGAACGATGCAGAATATCCAAGATCCACGCCAGGCCTCAAGGTCTAGGGACTGATTGGAACCGTGGGAGGAGAAAGCACCTGGCAACCGAAGCGAGAATGCAGAGAGGCCAACCAGAATCAGACCTGCAAGGCTCAGATCCGACAGAAAAACAACAAGTGACAATGGGAGGGAAACCGATAATGGAATAAATGTTTTTGTTCACTGCGCTTGCCGTGAGTGGAGCAGGAGGCTCCCCGGCCGCCCAGCGCGCTGTTTTGCTTATTTGCTTATTTTCTATAAATCTCCCATAAATTTTTATTGCCGTATTTCGACTCAGTTTCGTTCTGCTTATAACAGGAGGAATCACCCCCCACGCCCCGGTGAATTAATTAAACACACCTGGCTGCGACGCTCCTGGCGAGTTCGGGCCTTTGTTCCCTCAATCACGGCCACAGCAACCGAGGGGCATCAGCACAAAGTCCAGCTGGAGGCTGGAGAGCAGAGCCAACAGTGCGCCGGGGGGGCTGTGGGTGGGTCACGGGGGACCTCCAAAATTCCCCGTGCCTCGAAAAGCCCCGAAAGGCCACAAATTAACCCAAAATTCACCGCCCCCCCCACCTCCCCTCAGGCCGCCGCTTGCCCCCTGCGCCGCCTCCCATTGGTCGTTGGAGCTGCCTGTCATCTCTAGCAGCCAATCAGCGCCCGGGAACGGGTGGGGGGGCGGTACTTTGCACCGCGCCATTTTAACCGCTTCTCGGACTAAAACTCCCGTCCTGCCCCGCGGGCCCTTTGAGTTCGTTCAGTGTCCCCTCAGTGCCCCCCGTGGGCTTCTTTCGGACCCCAAAATGCACCCCCCGAGCTCCGAATGCCCCCCAGGTGCCTCCCTGGGCCGCCGGTGCCCCTCACTCCTAACCCCGCAGAGCCATTGGACCACTCCGGGACTACAACTCCCGTCGTGCCCCGCGGCTCCGCAGAGCCAATCCCAGCCCTGCCTGCACTTCCCAGGAGGCTCCGCGGCCGCCCAGACCCGATCCAGGCGGGGCTGCGGTCCCTGAGGGGTGTCCGGGATCCCCCAGAGCTGTCCGGGATCCCTCAGAGCTGTCCGGGATTCCTCAGAGCTGTCCGGGATCCCTCAGAGCTCTCCGGGATCCCTCAGAGCTGTCCGGGATCCCTCAGAGCTGTTCTGCATCCCTCAGAGCTGTCCGGGATCCCTCAGAGCTGTCCGGGATCCCCCAGAGCTGTGAGGGGTCCCTCAGAGCTGTCCGGGATCCCTCAGAGCTGTCCGGGATCCCTCAGAGCTGTCCGAGATCCCTCAGAGCTGTCCGGGATCCCTCAGAGCCTTCCGGGATCCCTGAGAGCTGTGAGGGATTCCTCAGAGCTGTCCGGGATCCCTCAGAGCTGTCCGGGATCCTTGATACTGTCCGGGATCCCTGAGGGGTGTTCGGGATCCCTCAGAGCCTTCCGGGATCCCTCAGAGCCTTCCGGGATCCCTCAGAGCTGTCCGGGATCCCCAGAGCTGTCCGGGATCCCTCAGAGCTGTCCGGGATCCCTCAGAGCTGTTCTGGATCCCTCAGAGCTGTCCGGGATCCCCCAGAGCTGTCCTGGATCCCTCAGAGCCGTCCGGGATCCCTCAGAGCTGTCCGGGATCCTTGATAGCTGTCCGGGATCCCTCAGAGCTGTCCGGGATCCCCCAGAGCTGTCCGGGATCCCTCAGAGCCCCCCCCAGACCCCTGACGGGCCCCCGGCCGTCCTGCTTGGGACCCCCTGTCCCACAGAGCAGGAAAATGTAAATGTAAATTCGGGGACCGCAGCTCCGGTCCCGCCGCGGGGCACGGAGAGGCCCTTCCAGCAACTCCCACAGAGCCCGCCTACAACTCCCATCAGCCCCGCGCCCCACGGACCCCGCTCTAGCCGGGTTCGCAGAGCCCCAGTGCCCCCACATGCCCCGCCACCCGTGATTTACCCTCAGGGGCGCCACCAGAACCCCAAAGTTGCCCCTCGGACCCCGAAGTGCCCCCTCAGAGCCACTTTTGGGACTACAACTCCCGTCGTGCCCCGCGGCCCCGCAGAGCCCGCTGGACCCGCGCCTACAACTCCCGTCGTGCCCCGCGGCCCCTCAGAGCCCATTTTAGCTTCGCCTACAACTCCCGTCGTTCCCCGCGCCCCTCAGAGCCCCCCACAAACGCCCCCAATTCCCCAAATGCCCCCAAATTCCCCCAAATGTCCCAATTTCCCCCAAACGCCCCCAAATTCCCCCAAATGTCCCCAAATTCCCTCCCCGACCTCCAAGTGCCCCCTGGGCCCAAGTGTCCCCCAAATGACCCTGCTGACCCCAAACTGCCCCCTAAGTGCCCCCCAGGACCCCCTAAGTACCCCCCCAGTATGATCCTGGTTCCCTCCAGAGTGGTTCCACTCGCTCCCAGTATCAAACCAGTCACTCCCAGTATGATCCCAGTTGCCTCCACCATGGTCCCATTTGCTCCCTGTTGCTCGCAGTGTGGTCCCAGTTGCCCCTGGCACAGTCCCAGTATCATCCCAGTCAATCCCAGCAGGTTCCCAGTCACCCCCAGTACAGACCCATTCACTGCCTCTTGCTCCCAGTCATTCCCAGTATGGTCCCAGTCATTCCCAGTATGGTCCCAGTCATCCCCAGTACGGTCCCAGTCATTCCCAGTATGGTCCCAGTTGTCCCCAGCATGGTCCCAGTCATCCCCAGCATGGTCCCAGTCATTCCCAGTATGGTCCCAGTCCTTCCCAGTGACTCCCAGTCATCCCCAGCATGGTCCCAGTCCTTCCCAGTGACTCCCAGTCATCCCCAGCATGGTCCCAGTCCTTCCCAGTGACTCCCAGTCATCCCCAGCATGGTCCCAGTCCTTCCCAGTGACTCCCAGTCATCCCCAGCATGGTCCCAGTCATCCCCAGTATGGTCCCAGTCATCCCCAGCATGGTCCCAGTCCTTCCCAGTGACTCCCAGTCATCCCCAGCATGGTCCCAGTTGTTTCCAGCATGGTCCCAGTCCTTCCCAGTGACTCCCAGTCATCCCCAGCATGGTCCCAGTCATTCCCAGCATGGTCCCAGTCATCCCCAGCATTGTCCCAGTCATTCCCAGCATTGTCCCAGTCATTCCCAGCATGGTCCCAGTCGTTCCCAGTATGGTCCCAATCATTCCCAGTATGGTCCCAGTCATTCCCAGTATGGATCCAGCCAGTCCCAGCATGGCCCAGGTGGCTGCAGGATGCACCCAGTTCTTCCCAGTGACTCCCAGTCATCCCCAGCATGGTCCCAGTCGTCCCCAGCATGGTCCCAGTCATCCCCAGCATGGTCCCAGTCATCCCCAGCATGGTCCCAGTCCTTCCCAGTGACTCCCAGTCGTCCCCAGTACGGTCCCAATCATCCCCAGTGACTCCCAGTCGTCCCCAGCATGGTCCCAGTCCTTCCCAGGGCGGTTTTGCAGTCGGTAAATGGTTCCTTTGGCTTTAATATTAACTTTATATAAAGTATATAAAGTTTATATAAAGTACCATTAACTTTAATATTAACATTACCATTAAATTGTAATATTAACATTACCATTAATTTTAATATTAACATTTCCATTAATTTTAACATTATCATTCAATTGTAATATTAACATTAATTTTAATATTAGCATTAAATTGTAATATTAACATTACCATTAAATTGTAATATTAACATTAACTTTAATTTTAACATTACCTTTAATTTTAATATTAACATTGATTTTAATATTAGCATTAATTTTAATAGTAACATCACCATTAAATTGTAATATTAACATTGATTTTAATATTACCATTGAATTGTAATATTAACATTACCATTATTTTTAATATTAACATCAAATTGTAATATTACCATTACCATTAATTTTAATATTAACATTACCATTAAATTGTAATATTAACATCACCATTAATTTTAATATTAACATCACCATTAATTTTAATAGTAACATCACCATTAAATTGTAATATTAACACTTCCATTAATTTTAACATTATCATTCAATTGTAATATTAACATTAATTTTAATATTAACATTACCATTAAATTGTAATATTAACATTAACTTTAATTTTAATATTACCATTAATTTTAATATTAACATTACCATTAAATTGTAATATTAACATTAACATTAATTTTAATATTACCATTAAATTGTAATATTAACATTACCATTAAATTGTAATATTAACATTAATTTTAATATTAACATTACCATTAATTTTAATATTAACATTACCATTAATTTTAACATTACCATTAATTTTAATATTACCATCCCAAAGTTACCCCCTTTTAAAAATTGAAACGAGAGGATTTTACACCGGTCAATTCACAAATCTTATTTACGATTAAAGCCGCTCAAGCTCCACCTAAACACAAAACAAATACTCTAAAAATACAAAATAATCTAAAAATAACAATTGGGGGAGGAAAATTGAGGCAAAACTCCGCGGTACCTGCTGGGATCTGTCAATGAGCTGGACCCGCCTCAGCCCCACGGGGGTCGGAGCCGCACTCGGAGCATTTTCCTTGGGATCTCCGCACTCGGAGCATTTCCCTTGGGATTTCCGCGCTCGGAGCATTTTCCTTGGGATCTCCGCGCTCGGAGCATTTTCCTTGGGATCTCCATACTCGGAGCATTTTCCTTGGGATCTCCGCACTCGGGGCTCTCGGAGCATTTTCCTTGGGATCTCTGCACTCGGAGCCACACTCGGAGCATTTTCCTTGGGATCTCCGCACTCGGAGCATTTTCCTTGGGATCTCCGCACTCGGGGCTCTCGGAGCATTTTCCTTGGGATCAGAGCTTGTCAGGGCACGGCTCTGGACGGGTCTGTGCAGTCGGACACCGCCACCAGCAACCCTGGAATAAAGAGCGGTTGTTCCACACCCCGCCCGGTCCTGCAGCGGGAACACCCCGGGATAAAGCGGGAATTGCTGCTGAGGGGTCCTCCTTTTGCTGATGGCTCATTTCCCCTGCAAAGGGCGGGTGGACACCCGGGGATCCCGCAGGACCGATCCACGAGGGCTCCTCGGAACGGCACGGCGAGGGACGGGTTGGGCGCAGGGGGCTGGAATTTCCTGGGGCACCGATGGACTCGCTGATGGACTCGCTCCCAGAATCCAGCCCTGGAGCCGCCCTCTCTGCTACCAAACCCTGGGCACACAAAGCCAAGACAGTGCCCAGCCTGGATCACCTGGAATGTGGGTCCTCCCATGGCTGAGGGAGTTGGAGCAGCAGCAGTCGGGGCACTTGAGGGGCTCCCCTCACCGGTGGCTCCGCTGGTGCGAGGCCAAGGCAGAGCTCTGTTTGAAGCTCTTCCCACACTCCCCACACTCGTAGGGCCTCTCCCCGGTGTGGATGCGCCGGTGGCTGACGAGGTGGGAGTTGCGGGTGAATCCCTTCCCGCAGTGGCTGCAGCGGAAGGGCCTCTCCCCCGTGTGCGTCCGCTCGTGCAGGAGGAGGTGGGAGCTGGTCTTGAAGCCTTTCCCGCACTCCCCACACCTGTAGGGCCGCTCCCCGCTGTGGATCTTCTGGTGGTGGCTGATCAGGTCGGAGCTCAGGCTGAAGCTCTTCCCGCACTCCCAGCACTCGTAGGGCCTCTCCTTGGAGTGCAGCCGCCGGTGGGTGAGGAGGTTGGAGCGGTCGTTGAAGCGCTTCCCGCACTCCTCACACTCGTAGGGCTGCTCCCCGGTGTGGATGAGCCGGTGGCGGGTCAGGCAGAAGCGCCGGCTGAAGCTGCTCCCGCACTCCGAGCACTTGTGGGGCCGCTCCCCGGTGTGGATCTGCTGGTGGCGGAGCAGGTGGTAACTCCTCCTGAAGCTCTTCCCGCATTCCAAGCACCTGAAGGGCTTCTCCCTGGCGTGAAGATCCTCACGGAGCTCCAGCTCGGAGCTCTGGCCGCTTTCCTGGCACAGGGTCGGTCCTTCCTCCTCAGAGCTCCCTGGGATGGCTTTGCAGCTCCTTCTCCTGGGGGATCTCCGTGGATTTTCCTCCTCCTCCTGCTCCTTCAGAACAACCTCTCCCAGCAGGCTCTGCCGGGGGGATTTGTCCTCCGTGCTCTCCGTCCTCAGCTCGGGGCCTGGGGCAGGAGGGAAGAAGGACAGGCAGGGGATTTGCCTCCAGCCCAGAGGGAAGGCCAAGGACATCCCCCCCAAATCCTCACCTGCCTCAGCATCTTCCTCAGGTGCCGCCCGCGGCATCTTCCTCCTCTTCCTCACAGCTTTCTCCTCCATCTGCCCAAGGTTTGGGAAGGAGAAACCCTTTTGGGTGGGGAAAAACAAGGTGTGAGCGCTTTGGGTTGGGGGTTCCTCCTGCCCAAGTCCATCTCTAGAGGTCATTTGGTGTCCTGTGTCCACAATAAACCCCACAAGTGCCCCAACCATGATCCAGGTACAGACCTGGTGACCAGCACATTCCACCAGCACATCCCAGTGATCCAGGCTGGGCACTGTCTTGGCTTTGTGTGCCCAGGTTTTGGTAGCAGGGGGGGCGGCTCCAGGGCTGGATTCTGGGAGCAGCTGCCAAAAACTGCCCCCCCCAATGTCCAGCAGAGCCAATTCCAGCTGGCTCCAGGATGGACCTGCCCCTGGCCAAGGCCGAGCCCATCAGAGGTGGCAGCGACACCTCGGGGAGAAGGGACTGGAGGAGGAAAAAGTCCTTGTGCAGGTGGGATTGGGTGCAGAGAAGAGCTCAGGGAGAACAGGGGAGAGGGACAGCTCTGCAGACCCCCAGGGCAGTGCAGAGGGAGGGGCAGGAGGTGCTCCGGGGCTGAGATTCCCCAGGAGGAGCCCACACCGGAGCAGGGGATGCCCAAAAAGAAGGATGAGAGCCCGTGGGAAGGCCCTGCTGGGGCAGAGTCCCTGCAGCTGCTGCCACCCCAGAGGGTCTCACTCAGCACCCCTGGGTGTGGGGCTTGAGGGGCAGGAATTGTCCATCCTGGCCCCAGGTCACGTCCGGGACTTTCTCTGAAAGTTGGAGAACAAATATAGGATTCTCATAGAATAGGTTGGGTTGGAAAAGACCTCCAAGATCATCAAGTCCAACCCCTGATCCAACTCTAATGACTATATCATGGCACTAAGGGCCATGTCCAATCTCTTTTTAAAAACTTCCAGGGATGGTGAATCCACCACCTCTCTGGGCAGGCCGTTCCAATGCCTGATCACCCTCTCTGTAAAGAATTTCTCCCTAACATCCAACCTAAACTTCCCCTGGCAGAGCTTGAGCCCATGTCCCCTTGTCCTGTTGTTGGTTGCCTGGGAGAAGAGACCAACCCCCACCTGGCTATAACTTCCCTTCAGGTGGTTGAAGAGAGTGATGAGGTCACCTCTAAGCCTTCTCTTCTCTAGACTAAACAACCCCAGCTCCCTCAGCCTCTCCTCACAGGACTTGTCCTATGGGTTGTTCTTCAGGCAAGAAAAAGTTTCCCAGGCTGCTCATTAAAGCAGCAGGAGCTGCTCAGACAGCACCGGTCCCTGTGAGCAGAGAGTGTTTCTGAGCAGCTCAGCCCACGGGCTGTTCCTCAAGGCTGAGGCCTAAGGAGCCTTTCTCAGCTCCCAGTGAGGCCTGGGGGGGGTGGGCAGGCACCACCACCCCTGCAAAGGTGCCCAAAACTCGCTCCGAGCCCGCCGGGGCTCAGCGGCAACAACAACGAGGAGGAGCCCGCGGGCAGCCGCTCCCTCAGCGGCCCCCGGAGGGGGGGACGGGACACGGCGGGCCGAGCCCGACAGGCCCCGCTCCCCACCGGCACCGCCCCGCCCGGGGAGGGCCGAACCCGTCAGAGCCCGCTCCCCGCGGTGCCTCCCGCCCCGATCCCCGATCCCCAGCAGAGCGAGCGCGGCTCCCACCTGAGCCCGGCCCGTCCCGGCTCCGCCGCCGCCGCCGCCGCCTCAGCTCCGTCTGAGCGCTGCTGCCGCCGCTCCGCCCGCCACACCCAGGGGGCGGGCACTGCCCCCGAGCCCGCCAATCAGCGCGCCAGGAGCAAGAGTGACGGGGCAGGCAGCCAATCACAGCGGGCCTCCAGCTCCGTCTGAGCGCTGCCGCCGCCGCCGGCGCTCCGCCCGCCACACCGAGGGGGCGGGCACTGCCCCCCCGAGCCCGCCAATCAGCGCGCCAGAAACAAGAGTGACGGGGCAGACAGCCAATCACGGCGGGCCTCCTCGCCGCCATTTTGTGTCGCGGCGCGGCGCGGGCTCAGGGTCTGGGCTGAGCGCCCTGAGGGGCACAAAGAGCCGGCCGGGGACGGGGACGGGGACGGGAACGGGGATGGGGATGGGGATGGGGTTGGGTTTGGGAACCGCTCCGAGCCGAGCGGGAGAACTCAAACGCCTTCCCCCGCCCTTCCCTCCTGCGCGGGCTTCGCTTTATCCCCTGTTCCCTCCGCCCGCTCCGATGGGGGTCCTGCAGCTGCTTCCCGGGGTGTTCCCGGAGCGACACAATGAGGGACACAATGAGGGACACAACGAGTGACACAATGAGTGACACAATGAGTGACACAACGAGTGACACAATGACACAATGAGTGACACAATGAGGGACACAATGAGGGACACAATGAGTGACACAATGAGTGACACAACGAGTGACACAATGAGTGACACAATGAGGGACACAATGAGGGACACAATGACACAATGAGTGACACAATGAGTGACACAACGAGGGACACAACGAGTGACACAATGAGGGACACAATGAGGGACACAATGAGTGACACAACGAGTGACACAATGAGTGACACAATGAGTGACACAATGAGGGACACAATGAGGGACACAACGAGTGACACAATGAGTGACACAATGAGGGACACAACGAGGGACACAATGAGTGACACAATGAGTGACACAACGAGTGACACAATGAGGGACACAACGAGTGACACAATGAGTGACACAATGAGTGACACAATGAGTGACACAACGAGTGACACAATGAGTGACACAATGAGTGACACAATGAGTGACACAATGAGTGACACAATGAGGGACACAATGAGTGACACAACGAGTGACACAACGAGTGACACAATGAGTGACACAATGAGTGACACAATGAGGGACACAATGAGTGACACAATGAGTGACACAATGAGTGACACAATGAGGGACACAATGAGGGACACAACGAGTGACACAGTGAGGGACACAATGACACAATGAGGGACACAACGAGCGACAATGAGGGACACAATGAGGGACACAATGAGTGACACAATGAGTGACACAATGAGGGACACAACGAGTGACACAATGAGGGACACAATGAGGGACACAATGAGTGACACAACGAGGGACACAATGAGTGACACAACGAGTGACACAATGAGGGACACAATGAGGGACACAATGAGTGACACAATGAGGGACACAACGAGTGACACAATGAGTGACACAACGAGGGACACCATGAGTGACACAATGAGGGACAATGAGTGACACAATGAGGGACACAACGAGTGACACAATGAGGGACAATGAGGGGCACAACGAGTGACACAATGAGTGACACAATGAGGGACACAATGAGGGACACAATGAGGGACACAACGAGGGACACAACGAGTGACACAACGAGGGACACAATGAGGGACACAATGAGGGACACAACGAGTGACACAATGAGTGACACAATGAGGGACACAACGAGTGACACAACGAGTGACACAATGAGTGACACAACGAGTGACACAATGAGGGACACAATGAGGGACACAATGAGTGACACAATGAGGGACACAATGAGTGACACAACGAGTGTCGCTCCCTGAGCAGCCCCAACCCCCCTTCATAAATGAGTAAATCGGTGGGGTTGTACAGATATCTTTGTTCAATTTCTTTATTTCACTTTTTTTTTTTTAATAAGAAATGTATGAAAAGGAAACGAGGCCAAAATAAAAGGATGTGAGGAATTTGCGAGGTCGGCTTGGGTGTGGTCGGTGAGTTTTATTGAGCAGTCAGACGTTCTTTTATCACCACGTTCTTTTATCACCACTTCCCAAAGTGCTCACAGAGCTATCTCCACTGCAGTCAGCACTGCGTGACTGCTCAGTTTTTGTTCCCCACACTTCTGTTACGTGTTCAGGACATTTCCCAACCCTTATTAGCGTTATAAGATCCCTGAGGGGCTTCATCGTGAGTGTCTCATCCGTGGCTGGAGCCCCCCAGAGTTCTAATTGACTGCCTTAGGAACTTCTTTAAGAAGATCACACGAGAGCAGCGAGGTCCCAGCCCCTCTTTTCCCGCCCTCTCCCCCCTTTTCCCCCTGTCCCCCCCTCTCTCCCACCCTGTCCCTTCCCACCCTGTCCCCCTTTTCCACCCTGTCCCCTCTCTCCCACCCTGTCCCCCCTTTCCCACCCTGTCCCCCTTTCCCACCCTGTCCCCTTTTCCACCTGTCCCCCTCTCCCACCCTGTCCCCCTCTCCCACCCTGTCCCCTTTCCCACCCTGTCCCCCTCTCTCCCACCCTGTCCCCCTTTTCCCACTCCTGTCCCCCTCTCTCCAAAAACTCCGCGGACCGGGAGAAGGCGGCGCAGGAGGAAGGGGAGGGGATAAAGCAGGAAAGGGACAAGAAGAGGATCCCTCAGCGGTCCCATCTCGCACGTTGGCGGCGAGAGGAAACTCGTCCCAAAAAGTCTTGGTTGTTGTGGTTTGTTTTGTTTTGTTTTGTTTTGTTTTTCCCGGGGGGGGGGGTGAATGTTTGGCTCTTGCCGGACCCCCAAAGCTGAGCCGCAGATGCCCCTTTGCGGGGAGGTTGTTGGGGGTGTCCGGGAGGTGTTTTTGGGGGTGCCGGGGTGGGTTCCCGGCGGTGGGAGGGGGATGCGGAGGACCCCCGGACGATGCCGGAGCTGGGGGGGACCCCCGGACGATGCCCGGAGTGGGGGGAGCCCAAGGACGGATCTGCTGGAGAAGGAAGGAGCCTGGACAGGGGGACTCCTGAGCCCCCCGGGACAACAAAGAGGAGGAATCAGAGAGAGGGGGGCACCTCCGGGTTTTCTGGCACCCCGAAACAAGAGAGTCAGGGGAGAAGGAGCCCCTGGGATGCCCCTGCAGTTGATAAGCAGGACTCGGGAGAGGAGCTGCCCCCAGAACTCCCAGGACCCCCAAAATCATAGAACAGTGGGACCCCCAGAACCCCAAAGCTGAGAGTCCAGAGAGAGAGAGAGAGAGAGAGAGCTCCTGGGATTTTTATTTTCGGCTGAAACTTATTCTCCTGCAGTTTTGGGGGGGATTAATCTAAACGTTTCTGAGGTTTCTTAGGCTGAATCTCGATGTTTTGGAGGTTTTACAGACACAAAATGCCTGGTGACTTCTGGAGATGGATTTGGGCAGGAGTCAACGAACTCACACCTTGTTTTTCCCCCAAAACAGGGTTTCTCATTCCAGAAACCTGAGCTGGATGAAGAAGAAAGTGGTGAAGAGGAGGAAGATGCCATGTGGCCCCCAGGCAGGTGAGGAGGGGCTGGATTTGGGGGGATGTCCTTGGCCTTCCCTCTGGGCTGGAGGCAAATCCCCTGCCTGTCCTTCTTCCTTCCTGCCCCAGGCCCCGAGCTGAGGACGGAGAGCACGGAGGACAAATCCCCCCGGCAGAGCCTGCTGGGAGAGGTTGTTCTGAAGGAGCAGGAGGAGGAGGAAAAGCCACGGAGATCCCCCAGGAGGAGGAGCTGCAAACCCATCCCAGGGAGCTCTGAGGAGGAAAAACCCGTCCTGTGCCAGGAAAGCGGCCAGAGCTCCGAGCTGGAGCTCCGTGAGGATCTTCACGCCAGGGAGAAGCCCTTCAGGTGCTTGGAATGCGGGAAGAGCTTCAGCAGGAGCTCCACCCTCCTCACCCACCGGCACATCCACACCGGGGAACGGCCCTACACGTGTGGGGAATGCGGGAAGAGCTTCAGTGATGGCTCCTACCTCTTCACCCACCGGCGCATCCACACCGGGGAATGGCCCTACGGGTGCGAGGAGTGTGGGAAGAGCTTCGTGAAGAGCTCCAACCTCGTCACCCACTGTCGCGTCCACACCGGGGAGCAGCCCCACAGGTGTGAGGAGTGCGGGAAGAGCTTCAGGCAGAGCTCCCACCTGACCCTCCACCAGCTCATCCACACCGGGGAGCGACCCCACAAGTGCGGGGAATGCGGGAAGAGCTTCGTGAAGAGCTCCAACCTTGTCACCCACTGGCTCATCCACACCGGGCAGCGGCCCTACAAGTGTGGGGAATGCGGGAAGAGCTTCAGTGATGGCTCCAACCTCTTCACCCACCGGCGCGTCCACACTGGGCAGCGGCCCTACAAGTGCGGGGAGTGCGGGAAGAGCTTCGGGCAGAGCTCCAACCTCCTTGCCCACCGGCTCATCCACAGCGGGGAGTGGCCCCACAAGTGTGGGGAGTGCGGGAAGAGCTTCAGGCAGAGCTCCCACCTGACCCTCCACCGGCTCATCCACAGCGGGGAGCGGCCCTACAAGTGCGGGGAGTGCGGGAAGGGATTCGGTGACAGCTCCAGCCTCATCCACCACCGGCTCATCCACACCGGGGAGCGGCCCTACCGGTGTGGGGAGTGCGGGAAAAGCTTCGTCCACGCCTCCCACCTGGTCTTGCACCAGAAGATCCACACCGGGGAGCGGCCCTACAGGTGTGGGGAGTGCGGGAAGGGGTTCCAGACCAGCGCCCACCTCCTCAGGCACCAGCAGACCCACACGGGGGAGAGGCCCTTCCGATGCAGCCACTGCGGGAAGGGATTCAGGCAGAGCTCCCACCTCGCCAGGCACCGGCGCAGGCCCTGCTGTTCTAAGTTAAACAATAAAAGCCGGGCTGCAAAAGCTGCAATAAAGAAATAGTTTATTATAAAAGCATTAAAACAAGCAAAAAAAGTTAACAGTGCACTGGGCTGCTTTTGCACTGAGGCAAAAGGCAGCAATGACTGAAACGTTTCATCTCCCTTTTATATCATTCTGGCTTCGTATTTCACAATCCGAGGTCTGGATCTAGATGATTGTCCCGTGAGGAAAGCAGACATGATATGTTTATTGGGGCTTGAATTCTCACAAAGAAAGTGTATTTCGTTTTCTTCTTTCCTGGAAGAAGGATTATCTGGTCTAGGATCCTCAGACATGATATGTTTATTGGGGCTTGAATTCTCACAAAGAAAGTGTATTTGGTTTTCTTCTTTCCTGGAAGAAGGATTATCTGGTCTAGGATCCTTTCTTGGAGTTCCCAGAAGAGTTGATTGCCCAATTACCTTAAGAAAAGGTTTGTGTATTCCTTTCTCAGGTTTGTGTATTTCTCTGTCTGGCTTTGGATAAGACTTTCCTGGCAATCATTGCCTTAGGTTTTACTGGAAAAGGGGTTTGTTACAAAACACAGAATTAATTTTTACTACAGGGAAAAAAAAAATACAGAAGATTACAAGATGATCCAGGGTTTTGGTGACCCCCATTCCAGGTGATCCAGGGTTTTGGTGACCCCCATTCCAGGTGATCCAGGGTTTTGGTGATCCAGGGTTTTGGTGACCCCCATTCCAGGTGATCCAGGGTTTTGGTGACCCCTGTTCCAGATGATCCAGGGTTTTGGTGACCCCCATTCCAGGTGATCCAGGGTTTTGGTGATCCCCATTCCAGGTGATCCAGGGTTTTGGTGACCCCTTTGCAGGTGATCCAGGGTTTTGGTGATCCAGGGTTTTGGTGACCCCTTTGCAGGTGATCCAGGGTTTTGGTGACCCCCATTCCAGGTGATCCAGGGTTTTGGTGACCCCCATTCCAGGTGATCCAGGGTTTTGGTGATCCAGGGTTTTGGTGATCCAGGGTTTTGGTGACCCCCCCATTCCAGGTGATCCAGGGTTTTGGTGACCCCCATTCCAGATGATCCAGGGTTTTGGTGACCCCCATTCCAGATGATCCAGGGTTTTGGTGACCCCCATTCCAGGTGATCCAGGGTTTTGGTGATCCAGGGTTTTGGTGATCCAGGGTTTTGGTGATCCAGGGTTTTGGTGACCCCCATTCCAGGTGATCCAGGGTTTTGGTGACCCCTGTTCCAGGTGATCCAGGGTTTTGGTGACCCCCATTCCAGGTGATCCAGGGTTTGGTGACCCCATTCCAGTGATCCAGGGTTTGGTGACTCCAGGGTTTTGGTGATCCAGGGTTTTGGTGACCCCCATTCCAGGTGATCCAGGGTTTTGGTGACCCCATTCCAGGTGATCCAGGGTTTGGTGACCCCCATTCCAGGTGATCCAGGGTTTTGGTGATCCAGGGTTTTGGTGACTCCATTCCAGGTGATCCAGGGTTTTGGTGACCCCATTCCAGGTGATCCAGGGTTTTGGTGACCCCTTCCAGGTGATCCAGGTTTGGTGACCCCCATTCCAGATGATCCAGGGTTTTGGTGACCCCCATTCCAGATGATCCAGGGTTTTGGTGATCCAGGGTTTTGGTGACCCCCATTCCAGATGATCCAGGGTTTTGGTGACCCCCATTCCAGGTGATCCAGGGTTTTGGTGACCCCCATTCCAGGTGATCCAGGGTTTTGGTGACCCAGGGTTTTGGTGATCCAGGGTTTTGGTGATCCAGGGTTTTGGTGACCCCCATTCCAGATGATCCAGGGTTTTGGTGACCCCTGTTCCAGGTGATCCAGGGTTTTGGTGACCCCCATTCCAGGTGATCCAGGGTTTTGGTGACCCCCATTCCAGGTGATCCAGGGTTTTGACCCAGGTGATCCAGGGTCCATTCCGGTGATCCAGGTTTTGGTGACCCCCATTCCAGGTGATCCAGGGTTCTGGTGATCCAGGTTCTTGGTGACCCCATTCCAGATGATCAGGCTCGGCAGTTCTTGTGAGCCTGCCAGGGTAGGCTGGAGTGAAAGGACGGTGAATTATTGGTGGTTTTAATTTTATTTAGTGGGGTTTAGTTTAGAACTCTTCGGGTGCCACGTAAAGCAGGCTTGGAGCAGTTTTATTTCCCTGTCTATAGAAGATATAATAACATAAAAATACCACTTAATAAAATGTATTTAAGGGGAAAAGAAAGAAAGTATCAGAGTAGGAAGATCCAGGGTCACACCCCGAGGATCCAGCAGGGACGAGGTTGGTGAAATTCCCAGGGGTGTTTTTACAGCTGGGGGTGGGGGAAGCTCAGGGAGGGCTCAGGAGGCTTCTTCTCCTCCTCAGAATTTCTGGATTTTCTCATTCCTAAGCAAAGATTTCTTTGGCTTTCCTTGCTCAAGGGCATCTTGTAAATCTAATATGTAAATTATCCAAGGTTACCATTTAAGGGATTTCTCTCAGCTCAATAATCTTTGCCCATTTGCTTTTTTATGGATATTTGGATTCCCAGCCTGCAAGCAAATCATGCTTAGGAAATTTATGTTACTGGAACCAATCCATCCAACTTGGCTTTCTGATTTCAAAGGATAAATCCTTCTGATTGTCATGGAATCCCCCTGGAACCACCACACCTTCAGCCTCCCTTGGGACGTTGCTGCTGAACTGGAGTTATTTCCTGCACAGGAAGAGCTGCTGCTGCTGCTCCAACACACTGAGCAATCACAATTTCCAGCGTGCCCCTCTTTTAAATTTAAATTTAAATTTTAAATTTAATTTCTGCCTCGAGTTTTCTGATGGATCTCTTCCTGGCAGAGGTTACAAGGGGTTTGGTAAGTGGAGAAAGGGATGAGTTATCCACTGTCCTCCTGATTCAACCCCTGTCACGCCAAAAAAAACCTTTCCAGTGCCATTCCTGAATTCTCCCTCTGTTGGGAACTGAGTTTTTCATCTGTGAATATCTCAGGATATAAAGTGGGGGGAGAGAAGGAGGAAGGAGGGGAGGGGATTTTGGAGTGATGGAATTTCCCTTCCCAAGTCCCAGCTCCGTGGGATGGGGTCTTGTTCTCTTGAACCGTGGGAAGCAGGGAAAAAAAATCCCCTGTTGTTGTAAGTTAGTGTAAGAATTTACACTCAATTTACAACTCAATTTACACTCAATTTACACTCAATTTACAACTCAATTTACAACTCAATTTACAACTCAATTTACACTCAATTTACACTCAATTTACAACTCAATTTACACTCAATTTACACTCAATTTACAACTCAATTTACACTCAATTTACACTCAGTTTACAACTCAATTTACACTCAATTTACATCAATTTACACTCAATTTACAACTCAATTTACACTCAATTTACAACTCAATTTACAACAAGAATTTACTCAATTTACAATCAATTTACAACTCAATTTACACTCAATTTACACTCAATTTACAACAAGAATTTACACAACTCAATTCCCGATTAAACATTGATAAATTTATTAAGCAAGTGATGATAAAGCAAAACAGCGGGACCCCCCCCCACCGGGACCACCCCCCAGACTGGGATCATCCCCGGGACTGGGACCCCCACTGGGACCACCCCCAGACTGGGATCATCCCCGGGACTGGGACCCCCACCGGGACCACCCCAGAGCAGGACCCGCCCCGGGACCTCCCGGACAGGAGCACCCCAGGACCCTCCCCATCACTGCGACCCCCAAAACGGGACCCCCAGGACCACCCCCAGGACCCCTCCCATCACTGCGACCCCCAACCAAAAAAACCCCGGGACCCTCCCAGACCCCCAAGACCCCCAACCCCCAACCCCCAGACCCCCAAAATCCTCCCCCAATCCCCAGAACCCCCAAATCCCCCTCCCACTTTGAGGGGTCCCCAAATCCCCCTCCCCAAATCCCCCTCCTTGGGGGTCCCCAAATCCCCCAAAATCCCCCTCCCCCAACCTTGGGGGCCCCAAATCTCTCCCAAATCCCCAATTTGGGGGATCCCCAAATCCCCAAATCTCCCCCAAACTCCCCTCCCAATCCCCAGACCCCCAAATCCCCCTTCTTGGGGGTCCCCAAATCCCAAATCCCCCAAATCCCCAGACCCCCAAATCCTCCCCCATCAGGAGGTCCCCAAATCCCCTCTCCCAAAAATCCCCCAAAAAATTCAGGACCATCCCCTCCCCAAAAAATCCCCCCAAAAAATCCCCCAATTGAAAACAAGAATTTTTAAATTATTTTCGATTTTTTCATTTTTTTGGGGAGGGGCAAAATTGGCTTTTTTTTCACCGTTTTTGAAGGAAAACAAAAACCCCCGACCCCTCCCCAAAACTCGACCCCCCCCCAAAATAAAAGTGCAATAAATAAAGAAAAAATAAAATAAAAGGCAAAAAAAATCACGATTTCCCCCCAATTTGGGGGGACTGGGACGGAAATTTGGGGGAGGGAACCCCCAAAATTGGGGTTTTTTTGGGGGAAAGAGGGAGACCCCCAAAATTAAAGGGGGGTGAGGACCCAACTAAAAAAAATCCCCCAAAAATTTTGGGGAAAAATTCCCCCCCCAAAAAATAACAGAGGGTTTTAAATAAAGGAAAATAAAATTAAAAAAAAGAACAAAAAAGGGGAAATTTGGGGAGGGGAAACGACACCAAAATTGGGGGGAAAAATCCTCAAAATTTTGGGGAAAAAAAATTCCAAATTTGGGGGAAAAATTCCAAAAAATTTTGGGAAAAAATCCCCCCAAAATTTGGGAAAAATCCCAAATTTGTGGGGAAAAATCCCAAAATTTGGGGGAAAAAAATCCCAAAATTTGGGGAAAAATCCCAAAAATTTGGGGGAAAAATCTCAAAAAACTGGGGAGAAATCCCCCAAAATTGAGGGGTGGGGGAGGGGAAACGACACCAAAATTGGGGGAAAAATCCCAAAATTTGGAGGGAAAAAATTCCAAAATTTTGGGGGAAAAATCACAAATTGGGGGGAAAAATCCCAAAATTTGGGGGAAAATCCCCAAAATTTGGAGGAAAAATCCCCAAATTTTGGGGAAAAAATCCCAAATTTATGGGGGAAATTCCCAAAATTGAGGGAAATTCCCCCAAATTTAGGGGAAAAATCCTAAAATTTGGGGGGAAATCCCAAAATTGAAAGAGAAATCCCCCAAATTTAGGGGAAAAATCCCAAATTTAGGGGAAAAATCCCAAATTTAGGGGAAAAATCCCAAATTTAGGGGGGAATTCCCAAAATTGAAAGAGAAATCCCCAAAATTTAGGGAAAAATCCCAAATGTAGGGGAAAAATCCCAAAATTGAGGGAAATTCTCCCAAATTTACGGGAAAAATCCTAAATTTAGGGGGGGAAATCCCAAAATTGAGGGAAAAAATTCCAAATTTAGGGGGGGAAACCCCAAAATTGAGGGATAAAAAAAAAACAACCTAAAATTTTGGGGGAAAAACCCTCAAAACTGGTGGGGGGGGAAATTCCCAAAAATTCAGGGGGAAAAAATAAAAAATAAAAAGAATAAAATAAAAATAGAATAAAAATAAAATAAAATTAAAATTAAAAATAAAAAATAAAAATAAAATAAAAATAAAATAAAAATAATTAAAAAATAAAAATAAAAATAAAATTAAAAATAAAAAAATAAAATAAAAATAAAAATAAAATTGGGGAAAAACCCTCAAAATTTCGGGGGGTGAGAGGAACCCTAAAACATTTGGGACCTCCCCCTTCCCCTCAGGGTTTTTTTTTTACCCAAAACGAGGGAAATTCAACCCAAAATTGTTGTAAAATTCCAGAGGGAGATTTTTTTGGGGGTCCAGAACGAGGCAGCAGCTCCTGCAAAACAAAACAAAAAGGGGGGTCAGGGGGATTTTGGGGGATTTTTGGGGTTTTTCCTTAATTTTTGGAGGATTTCTCAATTTTTGGGGGTTCTGGAATTTCTGGGGATTTGGAAATTTTTGGGAGGGTTCTGGAATTTTGGGGTTTCTCAATTTTGGGGTTTTTTCTTAATTTTTGGGTTTTCTTAATTTTGGGGGTTTCTCAATTTTTTGGGGTTTCTCGATTTATTTTTGATTTCTTAATTTTGGGGTTTTCCTCAATTTTTGGGGTTTCTCAATTTTGGGGGTTTCTTAATTTTGGGGGGTTTTTATCAATTTTTGGAGGATTTCTTAATTTTTGGGGGGTTTCTCACTTGGGGGGGTCTCAATTTTGGGGGGTTTCTCAAATTTTGGGGGGGTTTCTGGAATTTTGGGGATTTTCTCAATTTTTGGGGGGTTTTTCTTAATTTTTGGGGGCTCTGGAATTTTGGGAGATTTGGGGGAATTTTTGGGAGGGTTCTGGAATTTTTGGGAGATTCTCAATTTTTGTTTTTTTTTTCTTAATTTTTGGGGGGTTTTTCTCAATTTTGGGGGATTTTCTAAATTTTTTGGGGTTTTTTTTTCAATTTTTGGGGTGTTTTACTCAATTTTTGGGAGATTTTCTCAATTTTGGGGGGATTTTCTCAATTTTTTTGTTTTTTTTTCAATTTTTGGGGTTTTTCTCAATTTTTGTGGGGTTTTTCTTAATTTTTTGGGGTTTCTTTTCTCAATTTTTGGGGTTTTTTTCTTAATTTTTGGGGGGTTTTTCTCAATTTTTGGGGGGATTTTGGGAGGAATTTTTGGGAGGGTTCTGGAATTTTTGGGAGATTTTCTTAATTTTGGGGATTTTCTCAATTTTCGGGGGTTTCTTAATTTTGGGGATTTCTTAATTTTTGGCGGGTTTCTTAATTTTTGGGGTTCTCTGGAATTTTTGGGATTTTTTCTCAATTTTGGGTGGGGGTTTGAATTTTTGGGGGTCTCTGGAATTTTTGGGGATTTTCTCAATTTTTGGGGGGGATTTCTCAATTTTCGTGGGGTTTTTCTTAATTTTTGGTTTTTTTTTTCTCAATTTTTGAGGTTTTTTTCTCAATTTTTGGGGGGTTTTTCTCAATTTTGGGGGGGGTTTGAATTTTTTGGGGGGATCTCTGGAATTTTTGGAGGATTTTCTCAATTTTGGGGGGTTTCTTAATTTTTGGGGGGGTTTTCTCAATTTTTGGGGGGGTTTTCTTAATTTTTGGGGGATTTCTTAATTTTTTGGCGGGTTTCTTAATTTTTGGGGGTTCTCTGGAATTTTTGGGATTTTTTTCTCAATTTTGGGTGGGGGGTTTGAATTTTTTTGGGGGTCTCTGGAATTTTTTGGGGATTTTTCTCAATTTTTGGGGGATTTCTCAATTTTCGTGGGGTTTTTCTTAATTTTTGGGTTTTTCTCAATTTTGAGGTTTTTTTCTCAATTTTTGGGGGTTTTCTCCAATTTTGGGGGGGGTTTGAATTTTTTGGGGGGATCTCTGGAATTTTTTGGGGATTTTCTCAATTTTTGGGGGGGTTTCTTAATTTTTGGGGGGGTTTTCTCAATTTTTGGGGAGTTTTTCTCAATTTTTGGGGGGTTTTTCTCAATTTTTGGGGGGTTTCTCACTTGAGGGGGTTTCTCAATTTTTGGGGGGACTCTCAGTTTTTTGGGGTCTCATTTTTTTGGGGTCTCTCACCTGTTTTGTGGTCAGTTTTGGGGTCTGTTTTGGGCTCAGTTTTGGGGTCAGTTTTTAGGATATCTCAATTTTAGGGGGTCTCTCACCTGTTTTGGGGTGTATTTTGGGGTCAGTTTTTAGGATATCTCAATTTTGGGGTCTCAGTTTTTAGGATATCTCAATTTTAGGGGGTTTCTCACCTGTTTTGGGTCAGTTTTGGGGTCAGTTTTTAGGATATCTCATTTTTGGGGGTCTCTCACCTGTTTGGGGTCAGTTTTGGGGTCTGTTTTGGGGTCAGTTTTTAGGATATCTCAATTTTAGGGGTTTCTCACCTGTTTTGGGGTCAGTTTTGGGGGTCTCAGATTTTTTGGGGGTCTCTCACCTGTCTGGGCTCCATTTTGGGGTCAGTTTTGGGGTCAGTTTTTAGAATATCTCATTTTTAGGGGGTTTCTCACCTGTTTTGGGTCCATTTTGGGGTCAGTTTGGGGTCTCAGTTTTTAGGATATCTCATTTTTAGGGGGTCTCTCACCTGTTTTGGGGTCAGTTTTGGGGTCAGTTTTAGGATATCTCAATTTTAGGGGGTTTCTCACCTGTCTGGGCTCAGTTTTGGGGTCAGTTTTGGGGTCAGTTTTTAGGATATCTCAATTTTTAGGGGGTCTCTCACCTGTTTTGGGGTCTCAGTTTTTAGGATATCTCATTTTTAGGGAGTTTCTCACCTGTTTTGGCTCCATTTTGGGGTAAGTCTTGGGCTCAGTTTTGGGGTCAGTTTTTAGGATATCTCAATTTTTGGGGTTTCTCACCTGTTTTGGAGTGTATTTTGGGGTCTCAGATTTTTTGGGGGGTCTCTCACCTGTTTTGGGTCCATTTTGGGGTGTATTTTGGGGTCTATTTGGGGTCAGTTTTGGAGTCAGTTTTTAGGATATCTCAATTTTTGGGTCTCAGTTTTTAGGATATCTCAATTTTTGGGGGTCTCTCACCTGTTTTGGGGTCAGTTTTGGGTCAGTTTTTAGGATATCTCAATTTTGGGGTCTCAGTTTTTAGGATATCTCATTTTTGGGAGTTTCTCACCTGTTTTGGGGTCTCAGTTTTTAGGATATCTCAATTTTGGGGTCTCAGTTTTTAGGATATCTCAATTTTTGGGGTCTCTCACCTGTTTTTGGGTGTATTTGGGGTGTATTTTGGGGTCTCAGATTTTTGGGGGTCTCTCACCTGTTTTGGGTGTATTTGGGGTGTATTTTGGGGTCTCAGATTTTTTTGGGGTCTCTCACCTGTTTTTGGGTGTATTTTGGGGTCTCAGTTTTTAGGATATCTCAGTTTTTAGGGGTCTCTCACCTGTTTTGGGGTGTATTTTGGGGTCTCAGATTTTTTGGGGGTCTCTCACCTGTTTTTGGGTGTATTTTGGGGTGTATTTTGGGGTCTATTTGGGGTCAGTTTTGGGGTCAGTTTTTAGGATATCTCAATTTTAGGGGGTCTCTCACCTGTTTTGGGGTCAGTTTTGGGGTCTCTCACCTGTTTTTGGGTGTATTTGGGGTGTATTTTGGGGTCTCAGTTTTTAGGATATCTCATTTTTTGGGGGTCTCTCACCTGTTTTTGGGTGTATTTGGGGTGTATTTTGGGGTCTCAGATTTTTGGGGGTCTCTCACCTGTTTTTGGGTCCATTTTGGGTGTATTTTGGGGTCTCAGCACCCGCAGGGCGGTCGGGGCTGGCCGAGGTTTCCCCCCCGGGGCTGCCGGAGCTGCCGAAGGGAGGAGTCCCCGTATTGGATCCCGGAGCCCATCCGTTCAGGATCCAGCTCTCCTGGAATAAAAACATGGAAAACTGGGATAAAAACAGGGAATGGAACCCCAAAACCTCCCCCATCCGCTCGGGATCCAGCTCTCCTGGAAAAAAACAGGGATAAACTGGGATAAAAACATGGAAAATTGGGAATTTGGGATCCCAAAACCTCCCCCATCCGCTCTGGATCCAGCTCTCCTGGGGGAAAAAACAGGGAATAAACAGGGAAAAATGGGATAAAAACAGGGAATGGAACCCCAAAACCTCCCCCATCCGCTCAGGATCCAGCTCTCCTGGAAAAAAAACATGGAAAACTGGGATAAAAACAGGGAAAACTGGGAATTTGGGATCCCAAAACCTTCCCCATCCGTTCGGGATCCAGCTCTCCTGGAAAAAAAACAGGGAAAAACCAAGGAAAACTGGGAATTTGGGATCCCAAAACCTCCCCCATCCGCTCAGGATCCAGCTCTCCTGGGGGAAAAAACAGGGAATTTGGGATCAAAATTGGGAATTTGGGATCCCAAAACCTCCCCCATCCATTCAGGATCCAGCTCTCCTGGAAAAAAAACTGGGATAAAAGCATGGAAAAGTGGGATAAAAGCATGGAAAACTGGGATAAAAACATGGAAAACCGGGATAAAAACAGGGAAAACTGGGATAAAAACAGGGAAAACTGGGATAAAAACATGGAAAACTGGGAATTTGGGATCCCAAAACCTCCCCCATCCGCTCTGGATCCAGCTCTCCTGGAAAAAAAACAGGGAATAAAACCATGGAAAACTGGGAATTTGGGATCCCAAAACCTCCCCATCCGTTCAGGATCCAGCTCTCCTGGAAAAAAAACATGGAAAAACCATGGAAAATTGGGAATTTGGGAGCCCAAAACCTCCCCCATCTGCTCAGGATCCAGCTCTCCTGGGGGAAAAACAGGGATAAACTGGGATAAAACCATGGAAAACTGGAAATTTGGGATCAAAACTGGGAATGTGGGATCCAAAACCTCCCCCATCCGCTCAGGATCCAGCTCTCCTGGGGGAAAAAACAGGGAATAAACATGGAAAACTGGGATAAAAACAGGGAATGGAACCCCAAAACCTCCCCCATCCGCTCAGGATCCAGCTCTCCTGGAAAAAAACAGGGAAAAATGGGATAAAACCATGGAAAACTGGGAATTTGGGAGCCCAAAACCTCCCCCATCCGTTCTGGATCCAGCTCTCCTGGGGAAAAAACAGGGAATTTGGGATAAAAAAAAAGGAATTTGGGACCCCAAAACCTCCCCCATCCGCTCGGGATCCAGCTCTCCTGGAATAAAAACATGGAAAAACCATGGAAAACTGGGAATTTGGGATCAAAATTGGGAATTTGGGATCCCAAAACCTCCCCCATCCGCTCGGGATCCAGCTCTCCTGGGGGAAAAACAGGGAATTTGGGATAAAAAAAAAGGAATTTGGGATCCAAAGTGGGCACGGGGGATCCAAAGCTCCCTCATTCCCACATTATTCCAAATTATTCCCCCATTATTCTCACATTATTCCCAGATTTATTCCCCCATTTTCCCCCATTATTCCCAAATTATTCCCAGTTTCTTCCCCCATTAATCCCCCATTATTCCCCCATTATTCCCAGATTTATTCTCACATCATTCCCACATTATTCCCCCATTTTTCCCCCATTAATCCCATATAATTCCCCCATTATCCCCCATTTTTCCCCCATAATTCCCCCCTTATTCCCAGATTTATTCCCCCAATATTCCCCCATTTTTCCCCCATTAATCCCATATTATTCCCCATTATTCCCACATTGCTCCCCCATTATTCCCATATAATTCCCACATTATTCCCAGTTTCTTCTCCCATTTTTCTCCCATTATTCCCAGATTTATTCCCACATTTTTCCCCCATTCTTTCCCCATTATTCCCCCATTATTCCCACATTCTTCCCCATTTTTCCCCATTATTCCCCCATTTTCCCCCCATTAATCCCACATTCTTCCCCCCTCATTCCCAGATCGTTTCTCCATTAATCCCCCATTGTTCCCCCATTATTCCCAGATTTATTCCCCCATTATTCCCAGTTTCTTCTCATATTATTCCCCCATTATTCCCACATTCTTCCCCCATTCTTCCCACATTATTCCCCCATTATCCTCCCACTATTCCCCCATTTTTCCCCCATTAATCCCACATTCTTCCCCCCTCATTCCCACATTTTTCCCCCATTATTCCCAGATTTATTCCCCCATTAATCCCATATTAATCCCCATTATTCCCCCATTTTCCCCCCCTCATTCCCAGATTATTCCCCCATTTTTCCCCCCTCATTCCCAGATTATTCCCCATTATTCCCCATTCTTCCCTCATTATTCCCTCATTATTCCCTCTATTCCCAGTTTCTTCCCCCATTTTTCCCCCATCATTCCCCCATTATTCCCCCATTCTTCCCACACTATTCCCATATTCTTCCCATATTATTCCCCCATTATTCCCTCATTATCTCCCCATTATTCCCCCAATTTTCCCCCATTATTCCTCCATTAATCCCATATTAATCCCACATTCTTCCCACCATTATTCCCTCATTATCCCCCCATTATTCCCCGTTTTCCCACATTATTCCCATATTCCTCCCACATCATTCCCAGATTTATTCCCCCATTATTCCCCATTTTCCCCCCATTATTCCCCCATTAATCCCATATTATTCCCCATTATTCCCCCATTCTTTCCACATTCTTCCCTCATTATTTCCCCATTTTTCCCCCATTATTCCCATATTATTCCCCCATTTTTCCCTCATTATTCCCCCATTTATTCCCCCATTCTTCCCCCATTTTTCCCCCACTATTCCCAGTTTCTTCCCCCATTATTCCTCCATTAGTCCCCCATTTTTCCCCCCTCATTTCCAGATTATTCCCCCATTTTTCCCCCATTATTCCCATATTATTCCCCCATTTTTCCCTCATTATTCCCCCATTAATCCCCCACTATTCCCAGATTTATTCCCACATTATTCCCAGTTTTATTCCCCCATTTTTCCCCCACTATTCCCATATTCTTCCCCCATTATTCCCCCCTCATTCCCAGATTATTCCCCCATTAATCCCACATTATTCCCCCATTCTTCCCCCATTATTCCCAGATTTATTCCCACATTATTCTCAAATTATACCCCCATTATTCCCCCATTATTCCCCCATTATTCCAAATTACTCCCACAATTTTCCCCCATTATTCCCACATTCTTCCCCCATTATTCCCCCATTTTCCCAGATTTATTTCCCCATTATTCCCACAATATTCCCACATTAATCCCAATTATTCCCCCATTATTCCCACATTCTTCCCACATTATTCCCCCATTGTTCCCCCATTATTCCAAATTATTCCCACATTATTCCCCCATTATTCCCAGATTTATTCCCCCATTTTCCCCCATTATTCCCCCACTATTCCCACATTATTCCCCCATTATTCCCCCATTAATCCCACATTCTTCCCCCCTTATTCCCAGATCATTTCCCCATTAATCCCCCATTATTTCCCCATTATTCCCACATTATTCCCAGATTTATTCCCACATTGCTTCCCAATTATTCCCCCATTTTCCCCCCATTAATCCCATATTAATCCCATATTAATCCCAGATCCTTCCCCCCTTGTTCCCCCCTCATTCCCAGATCCTTCCCCCATTGTTCCCCCCTCATTCCCAGATTATTCCCCCATTAATCCCATATTAATCCCATATAATTCCCAGATTCTCCCCGTCCCCTCACCGGCGTCGATCCTGCCCAGGATGGTCCTGGCGCATTTCAGGAACGCCTCCTCCACGTTCTCCCCGCTCAGCGCGCTCGTCTCCAGGAACATCAGCTCTGCTTCCCGGGAAAACAGCAATTCCCAACCAGAATCCTGATATTCCCACTGGGAATTCCAATATTCCCCCCAGGATCCCAAAATTCCCCCCAGGATCCCGATATTCCCACTGTTATTCCCATTGTAATTCCCATTGTTACTCCCATTATTCCCATCGTTCTCCCCGCTCAGCGCGCTCGTCTCCAGGAACATCAGCTCTGCTTCCCGGCAAAAATCACAATTCCCAACGGGAATCCTGATATTCCCACTGGGAATTCCAACATTCCCCCCAGGATCCCGATATTCCCACTGTTATTCCCACTGTTATTCCCATTGTTATTCCCATTATTCCCATCGTTCTCCCCGCTCAGCGCGCTCGTCTCCAGGAACATCAGCTCTGAGTCCCGGCAAAAATCACAATTCCCAATGGGAATCCTGATATTCCCATTAGAAATCCCCATATTTCCCCCAGGATCCCGATATTCCCACTGTAATTCCCATTGTAATTCCCATTGTTACTCCCATTATTCCCATCGTTCTCCCCGCTCAGCGCGCTCGTCTCCAGGAACATCAGCTCTGCTTCCCGGGAAAACAGCAATTCCCAATGGGAATCCCGATATTCCCACTGGGAATTCCAATATTCCCCCCAGGATCCCAAAATTCCCCCCAGGAGCCCGATATTCCCCCCTGGCATCCTGATATTCCTCCCAGGATCCCAATATTCCCTCTAGGAATCCCGATATTCCCCTTGGGATCCCCTGGGAATCCCCCCAGGATCCTGATATTCCCGCTGGGAATCCTGATATTTCCCCTGGGAATCACAATATTCTCCCCAGGATCCTGATATTCCCCTTGGGAATCCTGATATTCCTCCCAGGATCCCAACATTCCTCTTAGGAATTCCAATATTCCCCCAGGGAATTCCAATATTCCCTCTGGAAATTCCAATATTCCCCCCAGGATCCCGATATTCCCTCTGGGAATCCCCTTGGGCATCCCGATATTCCCCTTGGGAACCCCTGGGAGTCCCCCCAGGATCCCGATAGTCCCTCTAGGAATTCCAATATTCCCTCCAGAATCCTGATATTCCTCCTTGGGAATCCCCCCAGGATCCTGATATTCCCGTTAGAAATCCCAACATTCCCCTTGGGAATCCCAAAACCCCCCCCAGGATCCCAATAATCCCCCTTGGAAATCCTGATATTCCTCCCAGGATCCTGATATTCCCACTGGGAATCACGATATTCCCCCAGGACCCTGATATTCCCTCTAGAATCCTGATATTCCCCCTGGAATCCCCTGGGAATCCCAATATTCCCACTAGAAATCCCAATATTCCCTCCAGGATCCTGATATTCCTGCTGGGAATCCTGATATTCCCCTTGGGAATCCCAATATTCCCCCCAGGATCTCGATATTCCCACTGGGAATCCTGATATTCCCCCTGGAAATTCCAATATTCCCCCCAGGCTCCTGATATTTCCCCCAGGATCCCAATATTCCCTCTAGAATCCCAATATTCCCCCTTGGGAATTCCAATATTCCCCCTGGAAATTCCCCCAGGATCCAATATTACCCCCCAGGATCCCAATAATCCCCCTTGGGAATCCTGATATTCCTCCTGGGAATCCCAATATTCCCCCCAGGATCCCAAAATTCCCACTGGGAATCCCCTGGAAATCCCCCCAGGATCCCAATAATCCCCCCAGGATCCAATATTACCCCCAAGGATCCCAATATTCCCCCTGGGAATTCCAATATTCCCTCTAGGAATTCCAACATTCCCCCCTGGGAATCCCAAAATCCCTCCCAGGATCCTGATATTCCCACTGGGATCTCGATATTCCCCCCAGGATCCCAATATTCCTCTTGGGAATTCCAATATTCCCCCAGGGAATTCCAATATTCCCCCCAGGATCCCGATATTCCCCATGGGAATTCCAATATTCCCCCCAGGATCCCGATATTCCCCCCAGAATCCTGATATTCCCCCTGGGAATCACGATATTCCCCCCAGGATCCTGATAATCCCCCTGGGGTCCCGATATTCCCAATTATCCCCCACTATTTCCCATTCTCCCCCATTATTCCCACTGTTATTCCCAGTGAAATTCCCATTGTTATTCCCATTATTCCCATTATTATTCCCATTGTAATTCCCATTGTTATTCCCATTATTCCCATTATTATTCCCATTGTTATTCCCATTGTTATTCCCATTATTCCCATCGTTCTCCCCGCTCAGCGCGCTCGTCTCCAGGAACATCAGCTCTGCTTCCCGGGAAAAACCACAATTCCCAACGGGAATCCCGATATTCCCATTAGAAATCCCCATATTTCCCCCAGGATCCCAAAATTCCCCCCAGGATCCCGATATTCCCACTCTTATTCCCATTGTAATTCCCATTGTTATTCCCATTATTCCCATTATTATTCCCATTGTTATTCCCATTGTTATTCCCATTATTCCCATTATTATTCCCATTATTCCCATTGTTATTCCCATTGTCATTCCCATTGTTATTCCCATTGTTATTCCCATTATTCCCATCGTTCTCCCCGCTCAGCGCGCTCGTCTCCAGGAACATCAGCTCTGAGTCCCGGGAAATATCACAATTCCCAACGGGAATCCTGATATTCCCTCTAGAATCATGATATTCTCCCCAGGATCCCGATATTCCCCCTTGGGATCCCGATATTCCCACTGGGAATCCCTCCAGAATCCTGATATTTCCCCCAGGATCCCAAAATTCCCCCTGGAAATCCCCCCAGGGATCCCGATATTCCCTCTGGAAATTCCCAATATTCCCCCTGATATTCCCTCTAGGATCCCAAAATCCCCCCCCAGGATCCCGATATTCCCCCTGGAATCCCCCCAGGATCCTGATATTCCCATTAGAAATCCCAATATTCCCTCCAGAATCCCGATATTCCCACTGGGAATCCTGATATTTTTCCTGGGAATCCCAATATTCCCTCTGGGAATCCCAAAATTCCCCCCAGGATCCCGATATTCCCCCTGGGGTCCCGATATTCCCAATTATCCCCCATTATTTTCCATTCTCCCCCATTATTCCCATTGTTATTCCCATTGTTATTCCCACTATTCCCACTGTTATTCCCATTATTATTCCCATTGTTATTCCCATTATTCCAACTGTTATTCCCATTGTTACTCCCATTGTTATTCCTATTTTTCCCATTGTTATTCCCATTGTCATTCCTGTTATCCCCATTTTCATTCCCATTATCATTCCCATTATTCCCATTATCATTCCCACTGTTATTCCCATTATTCCCATTCATATTCCCATTGTCATTCCCATTATCCCCATTGTTATTCCCAGTGTCATTCCCATTATCCCCATTGTTATTCCCATTGTTATTCCAGTTGCTATTCCCATTATTCCCACTGTTATTCCCATTGTTATTCCCACTGTTATTCCCACTGTCATTCCCATTATCATTCCCATTGTTATTCCCATTATTCCCACTGTCATTCCCACCATTCCCATTGTCATTCCCATTGTTATTCCCATTATTCCCTCTTATTCCCATTATTATACCCATTATTCCCACTGTTATTCCCAGCATTCCCACTGTTATTCCCATTATTATTCCCATTATTCCCATTGTTATTCCCATTATTATTCTCATCATTCCTAGTGTAATTCCATCATTCCTGCTGTTATTCCCACTGTTATTCCCAATATTCCCATTGTCAGTCCCATTATTATTCCCACTGTTATCCCCCATTATTCCCGCTGTTATCCCCATTATCATTCCCATTATCATTCCCATTGTCATTCTCATCATTCCCATCATCATTCCCACCATTCCCATTATCATTCCCATAATTCCCAGTGTAATTCCCACATTCCCAGTGTAATTCCCACTGTTTTCCTGAGCAAACCGTGACGCCTCCAGGAATGTGACCTCCCTGTTTGGCTCCAGGTCCCGTTGGTTGTTATCCCATCATCCCCACTGCCATTCCCATTATCCCCATCATCATTTCCATCATCCCCATTATCCCAGGTGTTATTCCAGGTGTACATTCCCAGTGTTATTCCCACCGTTTTCCTGGGCGAATCTGGACGCCTCCAGGAATGTGACCTCCCTGTCAGGCTCCAGGTCCCGTTTGTTGCTATCCCATCATCCCCATTCCCATTCCCATCATCCCCATCATCATTCCCATCATCATTCCCATCATCCCCATTCTCATCCCCATTATCCCAGGTGTAATTCCCACATTCCCAGTGTCATTCCCACCGTTTTCCTGGTTGAACCGTGATGCCTCCAGGAACGTGACCTCCCTGTCTGGCTCCAGGTCCCGTTGGTTGTTATCCCATCATCCCCACTGACATTCCCATCATCATTCCCATCATCCCCATTGTCATTCCCATTCTTATTCCCACTGTTATTCCCATTATCCCCACTGTCATTCCCACTGTCATTCCCATTATTCCCACTGTTATTCCCATCATTCCTACTGTTACTCCCATTCTTATTCCCAGTTATTCCCATTGTTATTCCCATTGTTATTCCCATTCTTATTCCCAGTTATTCCCAATATTCCCACTGTTATTCCCATTGTTATTCCATTATCATTCCCATTATTCCCATTGTTATTCCCACTGTTATTCCCACTGTTATTCCCATTATTCCCATTGTTATTCCCATTATTATTCCCACTGTTATTCCCATTATTCCTACTGCTATTCCCATTGTTATTCCTATTGTTACTCCCATCATTCCTACTGTTACTCCCATTGTTATTCCCATTCTTATTCCCATTATTCCCATTGTTATTCCCATTCTTACTCCCACTGTTATTCCCATTCTTACTCCCATTGTTATTCCCACTGTTACTCCCATTGTAATTCCCATTGTTATTCCCATTATTCCCCGTTATTCCCACTGTTATTCCCAGTGTTCCCTTTGTTATTCCCATTGTTATTCCCACTGTCATTCCCATATTCCCACCTTTTTCCTGGGCCAATCTGGAGCCCTCCAAGGCACGACCCCTCGCTCCCCATCCCCCAATCCCATTCCCTGGTATCCCATTATTCCCAATTATCCCATTCTCCCCCATTATTCCAATTGTTATTGCCATTGGTATTCCCATTGGTATTCCCATTCTTATTCCCATTTTTATTCCCATTATTCCCACTGTTATCCCCACTGTCATTCCCAGTGTAATTCCCATCATTCCCATTATCATTCCCATAATTCCAGGTGTTATTCCCAGTGTAATTCCCACCGTTTTCCTGGTTGAACCGTGACGCCTCCAGGAATGTGACCTCCCTGTCAGGCTCCAGGTCCCGTTTGTTGGTATCCCATCATCCCCATTCCCATCCCCATTATCATTCCCATTATCATCCCCATTCCCATTCCCATCATCCCCATTATCATTCCCATTATCATTCCCATTATCCCCATTATCATTCCCATCATCCCCATCATCATTCCCACCATTCCCATTATCATTCCCATCATTCCCAGTGTAATTCCCACATTCCCAGTGTTATTCCCACCATTTTCCTGAGCAAACCGTGACGCCTCCAGGAATGTGACCTCCCTGTCTGGCTCCAGGTCCCGTTTGTTGCTATCCCATCATCCCCACTCTCATTCCCATCATCATTCCCATTATCCCCATTCCCATTCCCATCATTCCCAGTGTAATTCCCATCATTCCCATCATTCCAGGTGTCATTCCCAATGTAATTCCCACCGTTTTCCTGAGCAAACCGTGACACCTCCAGGAATGTGACCTCCCTGTCGGGCTCCAGGTCCCGTTTGTTGCTATCCCATCATCCCCACTGCCATTCCCATCATCATTCCCATCATCCCCATCATCATTCCCATCATCCCCATTATCCCAGGTGTAATTCCCATCATTCCCAGTGTTATTCCCACCGTTTTCCTGGTTGAACCGTGATGCCTCCAGGAATGTGACCTCCCTGTCTGGCTCCAGGTCCTGTTTGTTGTTACCCCATCATCCCCATTATCATCCCCACTCCCATTCCCATCATTCCCATCATCATTCCCATTATTCCCACTGTCATTCCCATTGTCATTCCTGTTGTTATTCCCATTATTCCTATTGTTATTCCCACTTTTATTCCTTCTGTTGTTCCTATTGTTATTCCCATTATTCCCACTGTTACTGCCCTTGTTATTCCTATTGTTATTCCCATTATTTCCATTGTCATTCCCATTATTATTCCCATTATTCCCATTGTTATTCCCATTATTCCCACTGTTATTCCCATTGTCGTTCCCATTTTATTCCCACTGTTATTCCCATTCTTACTCCCATTGTTATTCCCACCATTCCCACTGTTATTCCCACTGTTACTCCCATTGTAATTCCCACTGTTATTCCCATTATTCCCCGTTATTCCCATTGTTATTCCCATTATTCCCATTATCATTCCCATTATTCCCACTGTCATTCCCACTCTTATTCCCATTGATATTCCCATTCTTACTCCCATCATCCCCATTATCATCCCCATTATCATTCCCATTATCATTCCCATCATTATTCCAGGTGTCACTCCCAGTGTCATTCCCACCATTTTCCTGGGCAAACCGTGATGCCTCCAGGAATGTGACCTCCCTGTCGGGCTCCAGGTCCCGTTTGTTGTTATCCCATCATCCCCACTCTCATTCCCATCATCCCCATTATCATCCCCATTATCCCAGGTGTTATTCCCAGTGTCATTCCCATAATTCCCAGTGCAATTCCCACATTCCCAGTGCCATTCCCACCGTTTTCCTGGTTGAACTGTGATGCCTCCAGGAACGTGACCTCCCTGTCTGGCTCCAGGTCCCGTTTGTTGCTATCCCATCATCCCCACTGACATCCCCATCATCCCCATTATCCCAGGTGTCATTCCCATCATTCCCATTATCATTCCCATTATTCCCGGTGTTATTCCCAGTGTAATTCCCACCGTTTTCCTGGGCGAATCTGGACGCCTCCAGGAATGTGACCTCCCTGTCAGGCTCCAGGTCCCGTTTGTTCCCGCACAGGACGATGACGATGTTGGGGCTGGCCAAGGTGCGAGCGTCCGACAGCCAGTGGGACAGCGAGTTGTACGTCTCACGGCTGGAATACCGGGAATAACGGGAATATTGGGATGTGGGAGAGGAGGGAACAACCCCAGTGAGCCAGGGAGTTGGATGGATCCCAGCTGGAATCCTGGGAATATTGGGAATTCCAGGATATGGGACACAGGGGAATGGCCCCAGTGGGACAGGGAGATGGACAGATCCCAGCTGGAATAGCGGGAATAACGGGAATTCCGGGATATGGGAAGGGGAGAACAACCCCAGTGAGTCAGGGAGTTGTATGATTCACGGTTGGAATATTGGGAATAATGGGAATATTGGGAATATTGGGATATGGGAGAAGGAAGAATGGTCCCAGTGAGTCAGGGAGTTGAATGGTTCATGGCTGGAATTACGGGAATAACGGGAATATTGGGATATGGGAGAGGAGAGAATGGCCCCAGTGGGACAGGGAGTTGGACGTATCCCGGCTGGAATAACGGGAATATCGGGAATTCCAGGATATGGGAGAGGAGAGAGGGCCCCAGTGAGTCAGGGAATTGGACGGTTCACGGTTGGAATAACGGGAATATCGGGATATGGGATATGGGAGAGGAGAGAATGGTCCCAGTGAGTCAGGGAGTTGGATGGATCCCGGTTGGAATTGTAGGAATTCTGGGAATATTGGGATATGGGACATGGGAGAGGAGGGAACAACCCCAGTGGGACAGGGAATGGATGGATCCCAGCTGGAATTGCGGGAATAACGGGAATTCCGGGATATGGGAGAGGAGAGAATGGTCCCAGTGGGACAGGGAGTTGGATGGATCCTGGTTGGAATAGTGGGAATAACGGGATATGGGAGAGGAGAGAATGGTCCCAGTGGGACAGGGAATTGGATGGCTCCCAGCTGGAATAGTGCGAATATTGGGAATATTGGGATATGGGACACAGGGGAATGGCCCCAGTGGGACAGGGAGTTGGACGGATCCCGGCTGGAATAACAGGAATATCGGGATATGGGAGAGGAGAGAGGGTCCCAGTGAGTCAGGGAGTTGGATGGTTCATGGCTGGAATTCTGGGAATATTGGGAATTCCAGGAATATTGGGATATGGGAGAGGGGAGAGTGGTCCCAGTGAGACAGGGAATTGGATCCTGGGATGGATCCCGGTTGGAATAACGGGAATAACGGGAATATCGGGATATGGGAGAGGGGAGAATGGTCCCAGTGAGTCAGGGAGTTATTTTCCCAGCTGGAATAGTGGGAGTAACGGGAATATTGGGATATGGGACACAGGGGAACAGTCCCAGTGGGACAGGGAATGGATGGATCCTGGCTGGAATAGCGGGAACGGGAATATCGGGATATGGGAGAGGAGAGAGGAGGGAACAGCCCCAGTGGGACAGGGAATGGATGGATCCCAGCTGGAATAGCGGGAATATGGGAATATTGGGATATGGGAGAGGAGGGAGGGTACCAGTGGGACAGGGAGTTGGATGGATCTTGGTTGGAATAGTGGGAATATCGGGATATGGGAGAGGGAGAATGGTCCCAGTGAGTCAGGGATGATGATCCGGCTGGAATAATGGGAATAATGGGAATATCGGGATGCAGGGTGAGGAGAGTGAGGATCACAGTGGGATAATGGGATAATGGGATAACAGGGTTGGGATACATGGGAATATCGGGATATGGACAGGGATAATGGGATAACAGTGGGGTATGGGGTTGAGATGCAGGGTTGGAATCATGAGATAATGGGAATAATGGGATAATGGGATGAAGGGGTTGGGATAACAGGGTTGGGATCATGGGATCATGGGATTATGGGATAACAGGGTTGGGATAACAGGGTTGGGATAATGGGGTTGGGATCATGGGATAACAGGATAATGGGATCATGGGATAATGGGATCATGGGATAACAGGGTTGGGATAACGGGGTTGGGATAACAGGATTGGGATAACGGGATCAGGGAATCATGGGATAACACGGCTGGGAGGGTTGGGATAACGGGGTTGGGATAACAGGGTTGGAATCATGGGATAACAAGATAATGGGATAATGGGAAAATGGGATAATGGGATAATGGGATAACAGGGTTGGGATAACAGGGTTGGGATCATGGGATCATGGGATAACAGGGTTGGGATAACAGGGTTGGGATCAATGGGATAATGGGATCATGGGGTTGGGATAACGGGGTTGGGATAATGGGATCCTGGGATCATGGGATAACAGGATAATGGGATCATGGGATAATGGGATCATGGGATAACAGGGTTGGGATAACGAGGTTGGGATCATGGGATCATGGGATCATGGGATAATGGGATAACAGGGTTGGGATAACAGGATCATGGGATAAAGGGTTGGGATAACGGGGTTGGAACCATGGGATCATGGGATTATGGGGTAATGGGATCATGGGATAACAGGGTTGGGATAACAGGGTTGGAATCATGGGATAATGGGATCATGGGATAATGGGATAACGGGATAACAGGATAACGGGTTGGGATAACAGGGTTGGGATAACAGGGTTGGAATAATGGGATCATGGGAAAATGGGATAACAGGGTTGGGATAACAGGATAATGGGATAATGGGATCATGGGAAAATGGGATAACGGGGTTGGGATAACGGGATTGGAATCATGGGATAACAGGATAATGGGATAATGGGATGAAGGGGTTGGGATAACAGGATAACGGGATCATGGGATAATGGGATAATGGGGTCATGGGATAATGGGATAACGGGATCATTGGAAAATGGGATAATAGGGTTGGGATAACAGGGTTGGGATAATGGGATAATAGGGTTGGGATAACAGGGCTGGAATCATGGGAAAATGGGATCATGGGATAACGGGGTTGGGATAACGGGATCATGGGATAATGGGATTAAGGGGTTGGAATCATGGGATAATGGGATGAAGGGGTTGGGATAACAGGCCAATGGGATCATGGGATAATGGGATAACGGGATAATGGGATAATGGGATAACAGGGTTGGGATCATGGGATAATAGGATCATGGGAAAATGGGATAACGGGATAACAGGGTTGGGATAATGGGATCATGGGAAAATGGGACAATGGGGTTGGGATAATGGGGTTGGGATAACAGGATCATGGGATTATGGGATCATGGGATAATGGGATAACAGGGTTGGGATCATGGGATAATGGGATAATGGGATAATGGGAAAATGGGATAACAGGGTTGGGAACATGGGATAATTGGATAATGGGGTTGGGATAACAGGGTTGGGATAACGGGATCATGGGATCATGGGATAATGGGATCATGGGGTTGGGATAACGGGGTTGGGATAACAGGGTTGGGATAACGGGATCATGGGAATCATGGAATAATGGGATAACGGGATAACAGGGTTGGGATCACGGGGTTGGGATAATGGGATAATGGGATCATGGGATAACAGGGTTGGGATAACGGGGTTGGAATCATGGGATCACGGGATAATGGGATCATGGGATAACAAGGTTGGGATCATGGGATAATGGGATAATGGGAAAATGGGATAACAGATAACGGCGTTGGGATAACAGGGTTGGGATAATGGGATCATGGGATCACAGGATAATGGGATCATGGGATCACGGGAAAATGGGATAACAGGGTTGGGATCATGGGATCATGGGATCATGGGATAATGGGATAACAGGGTTGGGATCATGGGATGGAAAAATTCCCCCCCCAAAGTGACGGAAAAGGCCCCAAATTGCCCCAGAGTGGACCTGGTGATGTCATAGACGAGCAGAGCCCCCGCGGCCCCCCGGTAATAACTGCGGGTAACGGACCTGGAATGGGAAAAACCGGGATAAACAACGGGAAAAACGGGATAAACAGCGGGAAAAACGGGATAAACAGTGGGAATAACTGCGCGTGACGGACCTGGAATGGGAAAAACAGCGGGAAAAACAGCGGGAAAACTGGGATAGACAGTGGGAAAACAGGGATAAACAGCGGGAATAACTGCGGGTGACGGACCTGGAACGGGAAAAACTGGGATGAACAGCGGGAAAATGGGATAGACAGCGGGAATGGGGGGATAAACAGTGGGAAAACCGGGATAAACATTGGGAAAAACGGGATAAACAGCGTGAAAAACGGGATAGACAGCGGGAAAAATGGGATAGACAGTGGGGAAACTGCGATAAACAGCGGGAATAACTGCGGGTGACGGACCTGAAATGGGAAAAACTGGGATAAACACCGGGAAAAACCGGGATAAACAGCGGGAAAAACGGGATAGGCAGCGGGAAAACTGGGATAAACAGCGGGAATAACTGGGATAAACACCAGGAATAATGGGATAAACAGCAGGAAAATTGGGATAAACAGCAGGAATAACGGGATAGACAGCGGGAAAACGGGATAAACAGCGGGAATAACTGCGCGTGACGGACCTGCAACGGGAAAAACAACGGGAAAAACGGGATAAACAGTGGGAAAAATGGGATAAACAGCGGGAAAAACGGGATAAACACTGGGAATAAACAGTGGGAATAAACACTGGCAATAAACCCTGGGAAAAGAGGGAATAAACACTGGGAAAACTGGGAATAAACACTGGGAATAAACACTGGGAAAACTGGGATAAACAGCAGGAAAAACGGGATAAACAGTGGGAATAAACACTGGGAATAAAAAGGGAATAAACACTGGGAAAACAGGGAATAAACACTGGGAAAAAACAGTGGGAAAACCAGGGATAAACAGTGGGAAAACCAGGAATAAACAGCGGGAAAAACGGGATAAACAGCGGGAAAATGGGATAAACACTGGGAATAAACACTGGGAAAAGAGGGAATAAACACTGGGAATAAACACTGGGAAAACTGGGAATAAAGACTGGGAAAACTGGGAATATACACTGGGAATAAACACTGGGAAAAATGGGAATAAAGACTGGGAAAACTGGGAATATACACTGGGAATAAACACTGGGAAAAATGGGAATAAACACTGGGAAAAATGGGATAAACAGCGGGAATGGGGGGATAAACAGTGGGAAAACTGGGATAAACAGCTGGAATAACTGCGGGTGACGGACCTGGAACGGGAAAAACGGGAATAAACAGCAGGAAAAACGCGATAGACAGTGGGAATAAACAGTGGGAATAAACACTGGGAAAACAGAGAATAAACCCTGGGAAAACGGGGAATAAACACTGGGAATAAACACTGGGAAAACTGGGAATAAACCCTAGGAAAACTGGGAATAAACACTGGGAAAAATGGGATAAACAGCGGGAAAACTGGGATAAACAGCGGGAATAAACATTGGGAAAAGAGGGAATAAACACTGGGAATAAAGACTGGGAATAAACCCTGGGAAAATTGGAAGCTGAGGCTGAGGATGATGAAAATGAGAATGAGGCTGAAGATGAGGAGGAAAATGAGGCTGAGGAGGGAAATGAGGATGAGGATGATGATGAGGATGAAGAGGAAGATGGGGATGAAGAGGAAGATGGGGATGAAGATGAGGAAGATGAGGCTGAGGCTGAAGATGAGGCTGAGGATGATGAAGATGAGGCTTAGGATGAAGATGAGGAGGAAGATGAAGATGAGAATGAGGAGGAAAATGAGGAGGAAGATGAGGATGAAGATGAAGCTGAGGCTGAGGATGAAGCTGAGGATGAAAAGGAAGATGAGGATGAAGATGAGAATGAAGATGAGGATGAAGATGAGGATGATGATGATGAAGATGAGGATGAAGATGAGGAGGAAGATGAGGATGAAGATGAAGCTGAGGCTGGGATGATGAAGATGAGGATGAAGATGAGGCTGAGGATGATGATGAGGATGAAAAGGAAGCTGAGGATGAAGATGAGGAGGAAGCTGAGGCTGAGGATGAGGTTGAGGATGATGATGAGGATGAAGCTGAGGAGGAAGATGAGGAGGAAGATGAAGATGAGGATGAGGCTGAGCAGAAAGATGAAGCTGAGGCTGAGGATGAAGACGAGGCTGAGGCTGATGATGATGATGAAGATGAGGAGGAGGCTGAGCAGGAAGATGAAGATGAGGCTGAGGATGATGATGATGAAGAGGCTGAGGAGGCTGAGGATGAAGATGAGGATGAAGATGAGGATGAAGCTGAGGAGGAAGATGAGGATGAAGATGAGTATGAAGCTGAGGCTGAAGCTGATGATGATGAAGCTGAATGTGCTGCCGAGGTCTGACCTGAAGCGCTCCTGTCCGGCCGTGTCCCAGATCTGCAGCTTCACCGTCCTCCCGCCCACGGAGACCACCCTGGAGCCGAACTCCACCCCGATGGTGTGGTTGGAGTCCTGCTTGACTGGGGACAGCCAAAACTGACCCAAAAACGGCCAAAATCACCCCAAAAACAACCCTAAAACACCCCAGAACTGACCCAAAACTGGCACAAATCACCCCAAAAAACAACCCAAAAACACCCCAGAAACTGACCCAAAACCGGCAAAAATCACCCCAAAAACAACCCTAAAAACTGACCCAAAATCAGCCAAAATCACCCCAGAAACTGACCCAAAACCACCCCAAAAACTGACCCAAAACTGGCAAAATTACCCCAAAAACACCCCAGAAAACACCCCAGAAACTGACCCCAAACTGGAACAAATCACCCCAAAAACACCCCAGAAACACCCCAGGAACTGACCCAAAACCACCCCAGAAACTGACCCAAAATCAGCCAAAATCACCCCAAAAACACCCCAGAAACTGACCCAAAAAACACCCCAAAAACTGACCCAAAACCAGCACAAATCACCCCAAAAAACACCCCATAAACTGACCCAAAACCACCCCAAATCACCCCAAAAAACACCCCAGAAACCACCCCAGAAACTGACCCCAAACCGGCCCAAATCACCCCAAAAACACCCCAGAAACTGACCCAAAACCGGCAAAAATCACCCCAAAAACAACCCTAAAAACTGACCCAAAACCAGCCCAGAAACTGACCCAAAACCGGCCAAAATCACCCCAAAAACAGCCCTAAAAACTGACCCAAACCACCCCAAAAACTGACCCAAAACCGGCCCAAATCACCCCAAAAACAACCCTAAAAACTGACCCAAAACTGGCACAAATCACCCCAAAAACACCCAAAAAAACACCCCAGAAACTGACCCCAAACCGGCACAAATCACCCCAAAACCAAACCAGAAACCACCCCAAAACTGGAACTAATCACCCCAAAAAACACCCCAAAAACTGACACCAAACCGGCACTAATCACCCCAAAAAACACCCCAAAAACTGACCCAAAACCGGCCCAAATCACCCCAAAAACAACCCTAAAACTGACCCAAAACTGGCACTAATCACCCCAAAAACAACCCTAAAAACTGACCCAAACCACCCCAAAAACTGACCCAAAACTGGCACAAATCACCCCAAAAAACACCCGAAAAAACACCCCAGAAACTGACCCAAAACTGGCACAAATCACCCCAAAAAACACCCCAAAACCTGGCATAAAATCAGCCAAAATCACCCCAAAAAACACCCAAAAACTGACCCAAAATTGGCCCAAATTACCCCAAAAACAACCCTAAAAACACCCCAAAAACTGACCCAAAACTGGCAAAAATCACCCCAAAAAACATCCCCAAAAACTGACCCAAAACCACCCCAAAAAATTGACCCCAAACCAGCCAAAATCACCCCAAAAAACACCCCAGAAACTGACCCAAAACTGGCACAAATCACCCCAAAAACACACCAGAAACCACCCAAAAAACTGACCCAAAACTGGCCCAAATCACCCCCAAAAACACCCCAAAAACTGACCCAAAAAGCACCCCAGAAACTGACCCCAAACTGGCCCAAATCACCCCAAAAAACACCCCAAAAACTGACCCAAAACCGGCACAAATCACCCCAAAAAATACCTCAAAAACGGACCCAAAACCACCCCAAAAACTGACCCAAAACTGGAACAAATCACCCCAAAAAACAACCCAAAAACTGACCCAAAACCAGCCCAGAAACTGACCCAAAACTGGCAAAAATCACCCCAAAAACAACCCTAAAAACTGACCCAAACCACCCCAAAAACTGACCCAAAACCAGCCCAGAAACTGACCCAAAACCGGAACAAATCACCCCAAAAATCACCCCAAAAACTGACCCAAAACTGGCACAAATCACCCCAAAAACCATCCCAAAAACTGACCAAAAACCACCCCAAAAAATTGACCCCAAACCGGCCCAAATCACCCCAAAAAACACCCCAAAATCAGCCCAAATCACCCCAAAAACTGACCCAAAATTGCCCCAAATCACCCCAAAAAACAACCTAAAAACTGACCCCAAACCAACCAACAAAAAGCCCCTAAAACCAACCCAAAACCCCCCCAAAAAAGCCCCCAAAAAGGCCCAAAATCCCAAAATTGCCCCCAAATCCCCCAAAATTGGCCCCAATTCCCCCAAAAAACAGCAAAAAAAGACCCAAACCCAACAAAGAAAACCCCAAAAACGACCCCAAACCCCCCCCAAATCCCCCCAAATTCCCCCAAAACCCAACAGAAAAACCCCTCCAAATGACCAAAAAAACCCTAAAAACGTCCCAAAATCCCCAAAATTGACCAAAATCCCCAAATCCCCCCAAAATTGAGTAAAAAATCCCTCAAAATCACCAAAACCAACAAAGAAAACCCAAAAATGCCCCAAAATCCCCCCAAATTCCCCCAAAACCCAACCAAAAAAACCCTCCAAATGACCCAAAAACCCTAAAAATGTCCCAAAATCCCCAAAATTGCCCAAAATCCCCAAAATTGCCCCAAAAAATTCCCCCCAAAACCCAACAAAAAAAAGCAAAAACTAATGAAGAAAACCCCAAAAATGCCCCAAAATCCCCCAAAATTCCCCCAAAACCCAACACAAAAACCCCTTCAAATGTCCCAAAAAACCCTAAAAACGTCCCAAAATCCCCAAATTGCCCAAAATCCCCCGAAATTGCCCCAAATTCCTACACTTGCTCTCGATGAAGTGATGCAGCAAACACGACTTGCCCGTCCCGGCGCTGCCGATCACCAGGAACTTGAAGAGGAAATCTGGGGAAAAAAAACCCAAAATGGGTAAATTCTGCCCCAAAAATGAGGTCAGGGGTTTGAAATCCCCAAAAAAACCCGAAATGAACCAAAATGAGCCCAAAAATACGAGGGGGAAGGGTTGGAAATGAGCAAAAATGACCCAAAATGAGGCAAAATCCCAACGAAAAATGGGCAAAATGGAGCAAAATGACCCCAAAATGGCTCAAAATGACCCCAAAATGGAGCAAAATCCCCCAAATGAACCAAAATGACCCCAAAATGACTCAAAATGACCCCAAAATGACTCAAATTCCACCCAAAATGGAGAAAACTCACCCCAAAATGACTCAAATTCCCCCCCAAAATGGAGCAAATTCCCCCAAAATGGAGCAAATTCCCCCAAAATGGAGCAAATTTCACCCAAAATGGTTCAAAATGACCCCAAAATGGTTCAAAATGACCCCAAAATGGAGCAAAATGACCCCAAAATGGAGCAAAATGATCCCAAAATGACTCAAAATTACCCCAAAATGGAGCAAAATGACCCCAAAATGACTCAAAATGACCCCAAAATGGAGAAAATTCCACCCAAAATGGAGAAAATTCCCCCAAAATGGAGAAAATTTGAACCAAAATGCAGCAAATTCCCCCCAAAATGGAGCAAAATGACCCCAAAATGACTCAAATTCCCCCCAAAATGGAAAAAATTAACCCCAAAATGGAGAAAATTTTACCCAACATGGAGAAAATTCACCCAAAATGTCTCAAATTCCACCCAAAATGGAGCAAATTCCCCCAAAATGGAGCAAAATGACCCAAAATGGAACAAAATTACCCAAAATGGAGCAAATTCCCCCCAAAATGGAGCAAAATGCCCCAAAATGACTCAAAATGACCCCAAAATGACTCAAAATGACCCCAAAATGGAGAAAATTCCCCCAAAATGGCCCCAAAATGGCTCAAATTTCACCCAAAATGGAGCAAATTCCCCCAAAATGACTCAAATTCCACCCAAAATGGAGCAAATTCCCCAAAATGGCTAAAAATGACCCCAAAATGGAGCAAATTTCCCCCAAAATGGAGAAAATTCCACCCAAAATGGAGAAAATTCCACCCAAAATGGAGCAAATTTCACCCAAAATGGAGAAAATTCCACCCAAAATGGAGCAAATTTCACCCGAAATGGAGCAAATTCCCCCAAAATGGAGAAAATTTCACCCAAAATGGAACAAATTCCCCCCAAAATGAAGCAAATTCCCCCAAAATGGAGCAAAATGACCCAAAATGGAGCAAATTCCACCCAAAATGGAGAAAATTTGACCCAAAATAGAGCAAATTCCACCCAAAATGGAGAAAATTTCACCCAAAATGACTCAAAACGACCCCAAAATGGAGCAAAATGACCCCAAAATGACCCCAAAATCCTCAAAAAGCTCCCAAATTGCCCCAAAATGAGCCCAGAAAATAACGAAGAAAGGGCCAAAATGGCTCAAAATCCTCAAAGAACCCCAAATTTCCCCCCAAAAAAACACCCAAAAATGACAGGAAAGGTCAAAAATGACCCCCAAAAATCCCAATTCAAAATGGGTAAAAAAAGGTCCCAAAATGGAGCAAATTCCCCCAAAATGGAGCAAATTCCCCCCAAAATGACTCAAATTCCACCCAAAATGGAGTAAAATGACCCCAAAATGGAGCAAATTCCCCCCAAAATGGAGCAAAATTCACCCAAAACGGAGAAAATTTCACCCAAAATGGAGCAAATTCACCCAAAATGGAGAAAATTCACCCCAAAATGGAGAAAATTTCACCCAAAATGGAGCAAATTCCACCCAAAATGGAGAAAATTCCACCCAAAATGAACCAAAATGACCCCAAAATGGCTCAAATTCCCCCCAAAATGGAGCAAATTCCCCCCAAAATGAAGCAAATTTACCCCAAAATGGAGAAAATTCCCCCAAAATGGCTCAAAATGACCCCAAAATGGAACAAAATGACCCTAAAATGGAGCAAAATGACCCCAAAATGGCTCAAAATAACCCCAAAATGGAGTAAATTCCCCCCAAAATGAAGCAAATTCCCCCCAAAATGGAGAAAATTCCCCCCAAAATGGAGAAAATTCCCCCCAAAATGGAGAAAATTCCCCCAAAATCACTCAAATTCCCCCAAAATGGCTAAAAATGACCCCGAAATGGAGCAAATTCCACCCAAAATGGAGAAAATTCTCCCAAAATGGAGCAAATTCCCCCCAAAATGGAGAAAATTTCACCCAAAATGGCTCAAAATGACCCCAAAATGGAGCAAATTCACCCAAAATGGAGAAAATTCCACCCAAAATGGAGAAAATTTCACCCAAAATGGAGAAAATTCCACCCAAAATGGAGAAAATTCACCCAAAATGGAGAAAATTCCCCCAAAAATGACTCAAAATGACCCCAAAATGGAGCAAAATGACCCCAAAATGACTCAAATTCCAACCAAAATGGAGAAAAATTCACCCAAAATGGAGCAAATTCCCCCAAAATGGAGAAAATTCACCCCAAAATGGAGAAAATTTCATCCAAAATGGAGAAAATTCCCCCCAAATGGACAAAATTTCACCCAAAATGGAGCAAATTTCACCCAAAATGGCCCCAAACGACCCCAAAATGGAGCAAAATGACCCCAAAATGACTCAAATTCCACCCAAAATGGAGCAAATTCCCCCCAAAATGGCCCAAAATGACCCCAAAATGGAGCAAAATGACCCCAAAATGGCCCAAAATGACCCCAAAATCATCAAAAAGCTCCCAAATTGCCCCAAAATGAGCCCAGAAAGGTCCAAAATGGCTCAAAATCCTCAAAAAACCCCAAATTGTCCCCCAAAAACCCCCCAAAATGACAAGGAAAGGTCAAAATTTCCCCCAAAATTCACAAAATTCCCTAAAGGGACCCCAAAATCCCCTACAAAGACCCCAAAATTCTCTATAAGGACCCCAAAATTCCCCATGGGGACCCCAAAATTCCCTACAAGGACCCCAAAATCCCCTAAAAGGACCCCAAAATCCCCTACAGGGACCCCAAAATCCTCTAAAAGGACCCCAAAATTTCCCACAGGGACCCCAAAATTTCCTACAGGGACCCCAAAAATCTTTACAAGGACCCCAAAATTCCCTTTAGGGACCCAAAAATTTCCTAAAGGGACCCCAAAATCCCCATGGGGACCCCAAAAATCCCTCCAGGAACCCCAAAATTCCCTCCAGGGACCCCAAAATCCTCTCTACAGATCCCAAAATCCCTACAGGGACCCCAAAATCCCCTACAGGGACCCCAAAAATCTCTTTAGGGACCCCAAAATCCCCTACAGGGACCCCAAAATTCTCTACAGGGACCCCAAAAATCCTTATAGGGACCCAAAATTCCCTCCAGGAACCCCAAAATTCCCTTTAGGGACCCCAAAATTCCCCATGGGGACCCCAAAGTCCTCTAAAAGGACCCCAAAATCCCTACAGGGACCCCAAAATTCCCTCCAGGAACCCCCAAATCCTCTCTAAAGACCCCAAAATCCTCTACAGGGACCCCAAATCCCCTCAGACCCCCCCAAATCCCCCCCAAATTCCCCAATCCCCCCAAATCCCCTCAGACCCCCAAATCCCCTCGGACCCCCCCAAATCCCCCAAATCCCCTCAGACCCCCAAATCCCCCCACCCCCAAATCCCCTAAACACCCCAAATCCCTCAGACCCCCAAATCCCCTCAGACCCCCACATCCCCCCAAAATCCCCCAATCCGCCCCCATCCCCAAATCCCCTCAGACCCCCAAATCTCCCTCAGGCCCCCCAAACCCCCTCAGACCCCCCAAATCCCCCAAATCCCCCTCAGACCCCCAAAATCCCCATCCCAGACCCCCAAATCCCCTCAGGACCCCCAAATCCCCCAGAGCCCCAAATCCCCATGGACCCCCAAATCCCCCAAATCCCCCAGAACCCCAAATCCCCCAGATCCCCCAAAACCCCAGGACCCCAAAATCCCCTCAGATCCCCCAAATCCTCCCCAAATCCCTCAGACCCCCAAATCCCCTCAGACCCCCCAAATCCCCTCAGACTCCCCCAAATCCCCCTCAGACCCCCAAATCCCCCCAGACTCCCCCAAATCCTCAGATCCCCAGATCCCCCAAATCCCCCAATCCCCTCAGACTCCCCAAATCCCCCAGACCACCCAAATCCCCTCAGACCCCCAAAATCCCCCCAAATCCCCCCAGACCCTCCCAAATCCCCTCAGACCCCCAAATCCCCCAGACCCCAAAATCCCCCACATCCCTCAGACCCCCAAATCCCCCAGATCCCCCAGACCCCCAAATCCCCCAGGCTAAATCCCCCAAAATCCCCCAGACCCCCAAATCCCCCCCAGGCCCCCAAATCCCCCAAATCCCCCAGACCCCCAAATCCCCTCAGACCCCCAAATCCCCAAAATCCCCCAGACCCCCAAATCCCCCTCAGGCCCCCAAATCCCCAATCCCTCAGACCCCCAAATCCCCTCCTGGACCCCCAAATTCCTCCCAAATCCCCCAAATCCCCCAAATCCCCCAGATCCCCAAAATCCCCCCAGACTCCCCAAATCACCCCTAGACCCCCAAATCCCCTCAGACCCCCCAAATCCCCCAGATCCCCCAAAATCCCCTCAGACCCCCAAATCCCCACAAACCCCCTCAGACCCCCAAATCCCCCTCAGACCCCCAAATCCCCCCCAAATCCCCCAGACCCCCAAAATCCCCCAGGACCCCCAAAACCCCCCAAATCCCCCATTCCCCAAATCCCCTCAGACCCCCAAAATCCCCCAGGACCCCCAAAATCCCCTCAGATCCCCAAATCCTCCCCAAATCCTCAGACCCCCCAGACCCCCAAATCCCCCTCAGACTCCCCCAAATCCCCCATGGACTCCCACAAATCCCCCCCCACACTCCCCCATCCTCCCCAATCCCCCAAATCCCCCCAATCCCCTCAGACCCCCAAATCCCCCAAATCCCCTCAGACCCCCCAAATCCCCCCAAATCCCCCCTCAGACCTCCCAAATCCCCTCAGACCCCCTCAAATCCCCGTCAGACCCCCAAAATCCCCCTGGGACCCCCAAAATTCCCCAAATCCCCCAACCCCCAAGCCCCCGGCCTCACCGTAGGTCTCGGACATGCTGGAACCGGGCCCGGCGCCAAAGATGGCAGGCGCCCAGGAGAGGCACCTCTGCTTCCGGGTGCGCAGTGCCAGGAGATGGGCAGGGCCACGGCGGGAACCCGGAAGTGACCCCAAAAATGGCCCCAAAATGTCCCCAAAATAAACCCAAAGTGACCCCAAAATGTCCCCAAATGGCCCCAACCCCCCCAAAGTGACCCCAAAATGTCCCCAAACCCCCCAAGTGTCCCCAAAGTGTCCCCAAAATGTCCCAAAGTGTCCCCAACCCTCCCAAAAGTGTCCCCAAAATGTCCCAAATTGTCTCCAAATGTCCCAAAGTGTCCCCAAATGTCCCCAAATGTCCCCAAAATGTCCCCAAATGTCCCCAAAATAACCCAAGTGACCCCAAAATGTCCCCAAAGTGTCCCCAAATGTCCCCAAAATCCCCAAATTCCCCCAAAAGTCGCCCCAGACCCCAGACCCCTAAACCCCCAAAATCCCCAGACCCCCTAAATCCTCCCAAAATCCCCAAACTCTCCCCAAAATCCCCCTAAGCACTCCCTAAAATCCCCCAGACCCCTAAATCCTCCAGAATCCCCCAAACCCACTCCCAAAAATCCCCAAATCCCCCAACCAATCCCCCAATCTGACCCCAAACCCCACCCCAAAATCTACCCAGACCACCCTAAATCCTCCCAAAATCCCCCCAAACCCCTCCCTAAAAATCCAGCCCCCAAAATCCCCTAAATCCTCCCAAAAAGTTCCCCCTAAACCCCCCCAAAAATCCCCCAAATCCTCCAAAAATCCCCTCCAGACCCCTCCCAAAAATCCACCAAAAGTCCCCTAAACCCCAAACTCCACTCCCAAAAATCCCCTAAACCCCCTCAAAAACCCAAATCCCCCAGAAATTCCCCAAAAAATCCCAAATTTCCCCAGAATTCCCCTAAACCCCCAAATCCCTCTCAGACCACCCTAAATCCCCCAAAATCCCCCTAAACCCCCCAAATCCCACCCAAAAATCCCAAAATTCTCTAAATCCCCCCCAAAAAACCCAAATCCTCCAAAAATCCCCAAATCCCCCAGACCCCCCAAAATCCCCCAAATCCCCCTAAATCCTCCAAAAATCTCCCAACTCCTCCCCAAAACCCCCAAAATCCCCCAAAATCTCCCCAAACCCCTCCCCAAAATCCCCTCAAAATCCCCCCAGACCCCTCCCAACAATCCCCAAATCCCCCAAAATCCCCATAAACTCCCCAGCCCCCACCAAAACCTCCAAAATCCCCTCAAAATCACCCAGACCCCTAAACCCCCCCAAAATCCTCTAAATCCTCCAAAATCCCCAAATCCTCCAAAAATCCCCAAAATCCCCCGACCCCCCAAATCACCCAGACCCCTAAATCCTCCAAAAATCCCCCAAAAATCCCCCTAAATCCTCCAAAAACCTCCCAAAATCCCCCCCAAAATCTCCCCAGACCCCCCAAAATCCCCTCAAACCCCTCCCCAAAATCCCCAAATCCCCTCCAAAAATCCCCCAATGACCAGCTCAGTTTTTGGGGTGTTTATTTTGGGGGAGGGGCAGCTCCAGGTGCAATGTCTGCTCACAGACCCTGGGTACAATGCGGGGGGACCCCAAAATATGGGGGGGGAGAACCCAAAATATCCGGGGGGGACCCCAAAATATCCAGGGGGGACCCCAAAATATCCAGGGGGGACCCCAAAATATCAGGGGGGACCCCAAAATATCCGGGGGGGGGATGGGTGGATTTGTTGGGGCCAAACTTACCTTGGGGAGGGGATTTTTGGGGGGTTGGGGGTCATTTTGGGTTGATTTGGGGATGTTTTGGGGGTCCCAGGAGGGATTTTGGGATGATTTGGGGATGTTTGGGAGGTTCCAGGGGGGATTTGGGGAGATTTGGGGGTCCCAGGGGGGATGATTTGGGGTTTGGAGTCATTTGGGGATGATTTGGGGGGATTTTGGGTTGATTTGGGGATGTTTTGGGGGGATTTTGGGATGATTTGGGAATCCCAGAAGGGATTTTGGGATGATCTGGGGATGTTTAGGGGGGATTTTGGGATGATTTGGGAATCCCAGAAGGGATTTTGGGATGATTTGGGGAGATTTGGGAGTCCCCAAAGTCATTTCTTGGACAAGGGGTTGCTCTGGGTGGGATTTGGGGGGTTCTGGGGTGATTTTGGGGAGAATTTGAGGCATTTTGGGGGTGATTCAGGGTCTGGGGTGGGTTCTGAGTTCTCAGGGGTGCTTGGGTGTTTTTGGGTGGGATTTGGGGGTGTTTTGGTTGGGATTTGGGGGTGTTTTTGGGTGGGATTTGGGGGTGTTTTGGTTGGGATTTGGGGGTGTTTTTGGGTGGGATTTGGGGGTGTTTTGGTTGGGATTTGGGGGTGTTTTGGAGAGGATTTGGGGGTCTTGGAGAGCTTTGGATGATCTGGGGTGTTTTGGTGAGTGATTTGGGGTGTTCAGGAGGGATCTTGGGATGTTTGGGGGATTTAGGGATGTTTTGGGTGTTTGAGTGGGATTTGGGGTGTTATAGTTGGGATTTTGGGGTGTTCTGGGTGGGATTTGGGGATGTTTGGGTGGAATTTGGGGTGTTTTGATGGGATTTGGGTGTGTTTTGGTTGGGATTTGGGGTGTTTGGAGTGGGATTTGGGGATGTTTTGGGGAGATTTGGGGTGTTTTGGGTGGGATTTTGGGGTTGATTTGGGGTGTTTTGGGATGATTTGGGTGTTTCAGGGTCCGAGGTAGGTTCTGCTGTTCTCAGGGTTTGGGTGGTTTTGGGGTGGTTGGGGTGTTCTGGTTGGGATCTGGGGTGTTTTGGTGGGATTTGGGGTGTTTTGGTTGGATTTAGGGGTGTTTGGGTGGGATTTGGGGTGTTTCAGGTGTGGCGGTCTCTTGGGAGTTCTGGGGGTGTTTTGGGTGGGATTTGGGGGTGTTTTTGGTTGGGATTTTGGGGTGTTTTGGGTGGGATTTGGGTGTGTTTTGGTTGGGATTTGGGGGTGTTTTGGGTGGGATTTGGGGATGTTTTTGGGTGAGATTTGGGGGTGTTTTGGGTGGGATTTGGGGTTGTTTTGGGGTGTTTTGGGTAGGATTTGAGGGTGTTTCAGGCACCGAGGTAGGTTCTGCTCTCTCAGGGGGTTTTGGGGGTTTTTTGGGTGGGATCTGGGGGTGTTTTTGGGTGGGATTTTTGGGATGTTTTTTGGTGGGATTTGGGGGTGTTTGGGTGTGTTTTGGGTGGGATTTTGGGGTGTTTTGGGTGTTTTTGGGTAGGATTTGAGGGTGTTTCAGGTGCCGGGGCGGGTTCTGCTCTCTCAGGGGGGTTTTGGGGGTGTTTTTGGTGGGATTTGAGGGTGTTTGGGTGTTTTGGGTGGGATTTGGGGTTGTTTTGGGGTTGTTTTGGATGGGATCTGGGGGTGTTTTTGGTTGGGATTTTGAGGGTGTTTTTGGGTGGGATTTGGGGTTGTTTTGGGGGTGTTTTGGATGGGATCTGGGGGAGTTTTGTTTGGGATTTCGGGGTGTTTTGGTTGAGATTTGAGGCTGTTTCAGTTGCCGGGGCGGGTTCTGCTCTCTCAGGGGGTTTCTGGGGGTTCCCAGGGCGGTTTTTGGGCTCATTTCTTGGCGAAGGAGATCTTCATGGCGTTGCTCTGGGTGATTTTGAAGCCCTGCAGGGCGTCCCGGGCCGCCCCCGCCTGCACCTCGGTGTCGAACTCCACGAAGGCGATGTCGTGTCTGCCCGGCACCAGCCGCACCTCCTTGAACCCAGGGAACCTGGGGGGGAAAACCGGGGGGTTAGGGGGGCAGAAAACCCACAGGGAATCATAAAAACCCCATAGGGATTGTAAAAACTCCACAGGAATCATAAACACCCCACAGGGATTGTAAAAACCCCATAGGAATCATAAAAACCCCACAGGGATCATAAAAACCCCATAGGAATTGAGAAAAAACCCACAGGGATCATAAAAACCCCACAGGGATCAAAAATACCCCTCAGAAATCAAAAATACCCCACAGGAATAAAAAAAAAACCCATAGAAATCGAGAAAAAACCCATAAAAATCAAAAAACCCCACAGGAATTAAAAAAAAACCCTCAGGAATGAAAAAACACCACAGAAATAATAAAAAAAAACCACGGGAATTGAGAAAAACACGTAAAAAGCAAAAAACCCCACAAGAATCAAAAAAAACCCCTCAGGAATCAAAAAACCCCACAGGAATACAAAAAAAAAACCCACAGGAATTGAGAAAAACCCATAAAAATCAAAAAAACCCCACAGGAATCATAAAAACCCCACAGAAATCCAAAGCAAACCAGAAGGATCATAAAAACCCCACAGAGATCCAAAACAAACCACAGGGATCATAAAAACCCCACAGGAATCATAAAAACCCCACAGGAATCATAAAAACCCCACAGGGATCATAAAAACCCCACAGGGATCATAAACACCCCATAGGGATCATGAAAACCCCATAGGAATCATAAACACCCCACAGGAATTGAGAAAAACCCCACAGGGATCATAAAAACCCCACAGGGATTGTAAAAACCCCATAGGAATCATAAAAACCCCACAGGGATCATAAAAACCCCACAGGGATCATAAACACCTCATAGGGATCATAAAAACCCCTCAGGAATGGAGACAATCACATAAAAATCAAAAAAACCCCACATGAATCCAAAATACCCCACAGGGAATCATAAACACCCCATAGGAATTGAGAAAAACCCATAAAAATAAAAAAAAACCACAGAAAACAAAAAAAAAACCATAGAAAATGAGAAAAAAAACATAAAAACCAAAAAACCCCACAAGAATCAGAAAAAACCCCACAGGGATCCAAAAAACCCCACAGGGATCCAAAAAACCCCACAGGGATCCAAAAAACCCCACAGGGATCCAAAAAACCCCACAGGGATCATAAACACCTCATAGGAATCATAAACACCCCATAGGAATCATAAAAACCCCACAGGAATTGAGAAAAAACCCACAGAGATCATAAAAACCCCACAAGAATTCAAAATACCCCACAGGAATCCAAAATACCCCACAGGGAATCATAAACACCCCATAGGAATTGAGAAAATCCCATAAAAATAAAAAAAACCCACAGGGATCATAAAAACCCCATAGGGATCAAAAAAACCCCACAGGGATCATAAAAACCCCACAGGGATCCAAAATACCCCACAGGGATCATAGAAACCCCACAGGGAATCAAAACAACTCCATAGGAATGGAGAAAATCCCATAAAAATCAAAAAACCTCACAGGGATCCAAAATACCCCACAGGGAATCAAAACAACTCCATAGGAATGGAGAAAATCCCATAAAAATCAAAAAACCTCACAGGGATCATAAAAACCCCACAGGAATCCAAAAACACCCCACAGGGATCATAAAAACCCCATAGAAATAAAGAAAAACCCATAAAAATCAAAAAATCCCACAGGGATCAAAAAAACCACATAGAAATAAAGATAAACCCATAAACACCAAAAAACCCCACAGGAATCCAAAAAACCCCACAGGGAATCATAAACACCCCATAGGGACCATAAAAACCCCACAGGGATTATAAAAACCCCACAGGGATTGAGAAAAACCCATAAAAATCAAAAAACCCCACAGCAATCAAAAAAAACCCCATAGAAATTGAGAAAAAAACCCATAAAAATCAAAAAATCCCACAGGGATCAAAAAAACCTCACAGGGAATCATAAAAACCCCACAAGGATCATAAAAACCCCACAGGAATTGAGAAAAAAAAAAATCAAAAAATCCCCACAGGAAACAAAAAAAACCCAAAGAAATCAAGAAAAAACCCATAAAAACCAAAAAAACCCCACAAGAATCAGAAAAAACCCCACAGGGATCAAAAAAACCCCACAGGGAATCGTAAAAACCCCATAAGGATCATAAAAACTCCACAGGGATCAAAAAAACCTCACAGGGAATCATAAAAACCCCACAAGAATCAAAAACCCCCAGGAATCAAAAACCCCACAGGAATCAAAAAACCCATAGGATCAAAACCCCACAGAATCAAAAAACCCCATAAAAATCAAAAAACCCATAAAATCAAAACCCCACAGGAATAAAAACCAGAAATCAAAACCCACAGAAATAAAAAAAACCCCCAAAGAAATCAAGAAAAAACCCATAAAAACCAAAAACCCCCATAAGAATCAGAAAAAAACCCCACAGGAATCAAAAAAACCCCACAGGAATCCAAAATACCCCACAGGGATCATAAAAACCCCACAAGGATCAAAAAAACGCCATAGAAATAGAGAAAAACACATAAACACCAAAAAACCCCAGAAATAAATGAAACAAAAAAAGAAAAACCCACAAAACCCCATAAAAATCCACAGAATTTCATAAAACCCCACAGTATTCCATAAAAATCCCATAAATATCCACAGAATTCCATAAAACCCCACAGTATTCCATAAAAATCCCATAAAAATCTACAAAATCCCATAAAAATTCCACAAAATCCCATGAAAATTCCACAAAATTCCATAAAAACCCACAGAATGCCATAAAAATCCACAGAATGCCATAAAAATCCACAAAATTCCATAAAAATCCACAGAATTCCATAAAAACCCACAAAATTCCATAAAAATCCAACAGAATCCCATAAAAATCCACAGAATTCCATAAAAATCCCAAAAATTCCATAAAAATCCATGAAATTCCATAAAAATTCCTAAATTCCATAAAAATCACCAAAATTCTATAAAAATCCCCAAATTCCATAAAAATCCATGAAATTCCATAAAAACCCACAAAATCCCATAAAAATCCATGAAATTCAGTAAAAATCCACTAAATCCCATAAAATCCCACAAAAATCCCCAGAATGCCATAAAAATCCCAAAAATCCCATAACAATCCACAGAACTCCATAAAAATCCACAGAATTCCATAAAATTCCACAAAATCCCATAAAAATCCACAGAATTCCATAAAAATCCCCAAAATTCCACAAAAATCCCCAAAATTCCATAAAAATCCCCAGTATCCCATCAAAATCCACAAAACCCCATAAAAACTCCACAGAATCCCATAAAAATCCACAAAATCCCTTAAAATCCCCCAAATCCCATAAAAACTCACAAAATCCCATAAAACCCCAGGAAATCCCATAAAAATCCACAAAATCCCATAAAATTCCACAAAACCCCACAAAATCCCATAAAAACCCACAAAATCCCATAAAACCCCAGGAAACCCCCTAAAAATGTAAAAAACCCTACAAAATCCCACCAAAATCCCGGAAATCCCACAGAAATCCACAAAACCCCATAAAGTAAAAAAAAAACCCATAAAAATAAACACCAAAAAAAATCAAATCCCATTAAAAGAAGAAAAAAAATGAGAAAAAAAGACAAGAAATCCCCACAAAAATCCCTCAAATCTCCCAAAAACCACCAAAAAAAACCCTTAAAATCCCCCTCCAAGCCCCTGGAGGGGGAGAAAAGGGGGTCAGGACCCCAAAACCCCCCCAAATCCCCCCAAAAAGCCCCGAGGCACTGACTGGTTGAAGAGCATGGAGAGCATCAGCTCGTTGGTCTCCTCGGGGAGGTTGGTGAGGAACAGGATGTGGTTCGGGGGGTTCTCCGACAGCTGCGGGCACAAAAACACCTCATGTGGAACCAGAGGCACCAGAATGGCAAAAACACCCCGAAATAACCCCAAAATATCCCAAAATGCCCCAGAATGGCCAAAAACACCCCAAAATAACCCCAAAACATCCCAAAACAACCCCAAATAACCCCAAAATAACCCCAGAATGGCCAAAAACACCCCAAAATAACCCCAAAACACCCCAAAATAACCCCAAAACACCCCAAAATACCCCAGAATGGCCAAAAATAACCCCAAAATAACCCCAGAACGGCCCAAAATACCCCAGAATGGCCAAAAATAACCCCAAAATACCCCAGAACGGCCAAAAATAACCCCAAAATACCCCCAAATAACCTCAAAATAACCCAAAACACCCCAAAATAACCCCAAAATACCCCCAAATAACCCCAGAACAGCCCAAAACACCCCAAAATAACCCCAGAATGGCCAAAAATAACTCCAAAATAACCCCAAAATACCCCAAAATAACCCCAAAATGGCCAAACCCACCCCAAAATAACCCCAAAATACCCCAAAGCGGCCCCAAAATAACCCCAAAATACCCCAGAACAGCCCCAAAGTACCACAAAATAACCCCAAAATGGCCAAAAACACCCCCAAAATAACCCCAAAACACCCCAGAACAGCCCAAAACACCCTAAAATAACCCCAAAATACCCCAGAACGGCCCAAAACACCCCAAAACAACCCAAAATAACCCCAGAACACCCCAGAACGGCCCCAAAATATCCCAGAACGACCAAAAACACCCCAAAATAACCTCAAAACACCCCAAAATAACCCCAAAACGGCCAAAAACACCCCGAAATAACCCCAGAACACCCCAAAATAACCCAAAATAACCCCAAAATAACCCCAGAACACCCCAGAATGACCCCAAAACACCCCAAAATAACCCCAAAATACCCCAAAATAACCCCAAAATACCCCAGAATGGCCCCAAACTAACCCCAAAACACCCCCAGAACAGCCCCAAAACCACCCCAAACTAACCCCAAAATGCCCCCAAACCAGCACAAAATACCCAAAACCCACCCAAAAACACCCCAAAACACCCCCTGAACACCCCAAATCCCCCAAAATAGCCCCCAAAGTCCCCCCCAAATTCCCTCCAATCCTCCCTAAGACCCCCCAACCCCCAATCCCATCCTAAACACCCCAAATCCCATCCCAATCCCCCAAATCCCTCCTAAATTCCATCCCAACCCCCCAATCCCACCCTAGCCCCCCCCAATCCCATCCTAAACCCCCCAAATCCCATCCTAAACCCCCCAAATCCCATCCCAACCACCCAAATCCCCCAAATCCCATCCCAACTCCCCCAAATCCCACCCTAACCCCCTCAAATCCCCCCAAACCCCAGCCTAACCCCTCCAAATACCCCCAAATCCCACCCTAACCCCCAAATCCCCCCAAATCCCATCCTAACCCCCCAAACCCTCCAAATCCCCTCAAATCCCATCCCAACCTCCCATTCCCATCCTAACCCCTCAAACCCACCCTGACCCCCAAATCCCATCCCAACAACCCAAATCCCCCAAATCCCATCCCAACCCCCCCAAATCCCACCCTAACCCCTCCAAAATCCCCCAAACCCACCCTGACCCCTCAATCCCCATCCCAACCCTGCCAAATCCCATCCTAACCCCCTCAAATCCCACCCTAACCCCCCAATTCCATCCTAACCCCCCAAATCCCACCTAAACCCCTCAAACCCCACCCTAACCCCCCAAATCCCATCCCAACCCCCAATCCCCCAAATCCGGGCACTCACGCTCTGAGCCGGGGGATCTGCCCGGGCAGCACCTGCTGTGGGGGGAGGGAGCCTGGGGAGCCCCGGGGCGATGCCGGGGGGATGATGCCCGGGGGGGGGATGTAGGGGGGCTGCCCCAGGGGGTGCAGCAGCCGCGGGGGCTGCGACAGCGACGGCAGGCCCTGAGGGGGAACAGAGGTCAGGGGGGAAAACGGGGAAAAACAGGACAGAAATGAGCAAAAATACAAAAAATAACACAAAAATAGTACAGAAACGGGCAAAAATAATGAAAATTACCCAAAAATAGCACATAATAACCCCCAAAACAGCACAGAAACAGAGAAAAACGGACAAAATAACCCAAAAAACAGCACAGAAATGGACAAAAATGGATAAAAATGGCACAAAAACGGACAAAAACAGCACAAAATAATGCCAAAACAGCACAGAAACGGACAAAAATAACCAAAATAACCCCAAAAATAGCACAGAAACGGACAAAAATGGCACAGAAACGGACAAAACCACACAAAATAACCCCAAAACAGCACAGAAACGGACAAAAACACACAAAATAACCCAAAAACCAGCACAGAAACGGACAAAAACAGCACAAAAACGGACAGAACAACACAAAAATGGACAAAACCAGCACAAAAACACACAAAATAACCCCCAAAACAGCATAAAAATGGACAAAAATAACCCAAAAACCAGCCCAAACAGCCCAAAAATGGACAAAACAGCACAGAAACGGACAAAAATAACCCCAAAACCAGCCCAAACAGCTCAAAAATGGACAAAAATGGCACAAAAACGGACAAAAACACACAAAATAACCCCAAAAATAGCACAGAAACGGAGAAAAACGAACAAAATAATCCCAGAAACAGCACAGAAATGGACAAAAATAATCAAAAATGGTACAAAACCAGACAAAAACAGCACAGAAATGGACAAAAATAATGAAAATTACCTAAAAATAGCACAGAAACGGAGAAAAACGGACAAAATAACCCCAGAAACAGCACAGAAATGGACAAAACAGCCCAAAAATGGACAAAACCACACAAAACAACCCCCAAAATCACACAAAATAACCCAAAAAAGGCACAGAAACAGACAAAAATGGCACAAAAACGGACAAAAACACACAAAATAACCCCAAAACAGCACAGAACCGGACAAAAATAACCAAAATAACCCCAAAACCAGCACAGAAACGGACAAAAATAATCCAAAAACCAGCCCAAACAGCACAAAAATGGACAAAAATGGCACAAAAATGGCACGAAAGTGGACAAAACCACAACAAAAACGGACAAAAACACAGAAAATAACCCCAAAACCAGCACAGAAATGGACAAAAACACACAAAATAACCCCCAAAACACACAAAATAACCCCAAAAAACAGCACAGAAACGGACAAAAATAATCAAAATAACCCAAAAAACACACAAAATAACCCCAAAACAGCACAGAAACTGAGAAAAACAGACAAAAATTGCACAAAACCAGCACAAAAACGGACAAAAACACACAAAATAACCCCAAAACCAGCACAGAAATGGACAAAAATGGACAAAATAACCCCAAAAACAGCACAGAAACGGACAAAAATAACCAAAATAATCCAAAAACAGCACAGAAACGGAGAAAAACGGACAAAATAACCCAAAAAACAGCACAGAAATGGACAAAACAGCACAAGAACGGACAAAATAGCCCCCAAACCAGACAAAACAACCCCCAAATCCCCCCAAATCATCCCAAATCCCCCCAAACCATCCCAAATCCCCCTCAAACCCCATAAAATCATCCTAAATCCCCCCCAACCATCCCAAATCCCCCCAAACCATCCCAAACCACCCCAAATCCCCCCCAAATCCCATAAAATGACCCCAAAACCCTCCCAAACCATCCCAAATCCTCCCAAACCATCCCAAATTCCCCCAAATCCCCCCCAGACCATCCCAAATTCCCCCCAAACCACCCTAAATCTCCCCTAAACCATCCCAAATCCCCCCCAAACCCCATAAAATGATCCCAAATCCCCCAAAACACCCCAAATCCCCCTCAAACCCCATAAAATGATCCCAAATCCCCCCCAAAACACCCCAAATCCCCCTCAAACCCCATAAAATGACCCCAAACCCCCCCAACCATCCCAAATCCCCCAAACCATCCCAAATCCCCCTCAAACCCCATAAAATCATCCCAAATCCCCCCCAACCACCCCAAATCCCCTCAAACCCCATAAAATGACCCCAAAACTCCCCCAAACCATCCCAAATTCCCAAATGCACCCTCAAACCATCCCAAATCTCCCAAACCACCCCAAACCATCCCAAATCCCCCAAGTGCCCCCAAATCCATCCCAAACCATCCCAAATCCCCCAACCCCATAAAATGATCCCAAATCCCCCAAACCCCATAAAACGATCCCAAATCCCCCCAAACCCCATAAAATGATCCCAAATCCCCCAACCCCATAAACCATCCCAAATCCCCCAAACCCCACAAACGATCCCAAATCCCCCAAACCCCATAAAATGATCCCAAATCCCCCCAAACCCCACAAAATGATCCCAAATCCCCCAAACCCTAAAATGATCCCAAATCCCCCAAACCCCATAAAACCATCCCAAATCCCCCCAAACCCCACAAAACGATCCCAAATCCCCCCAAACCCCATAAAATGATCCCAAAATCCCCTCCAAACCATCCCAAATCCATCCCAAATCCCCCAAACCCCATAAAACCATCCCAAATCCTCCCCCAAACCCCATAAAATGATCCCAAATCCCCCCCAAACCATCCCAAATCCCCCCCAAACACCATAAACTGATCCCAAATCCCCCAAACCACTCCAAATCCCCAAGTGCCCCAAATCCCCCAAACCCCATAAAACCATCCCAAATCCTCTCTAACCATCCCAAATCCCCCAAACCATCCCAAATCCCCCAAACCCCATAAACGTCCCAAATCCCCTCAAACCCCATAAAATGATCCCAAACCTCCCAAACCCCATAAAACAATCCCAAACCCCCCCAAACCCATCCCAAATCCCCCATAAACCATCCCAAATCCCCCCAAACCCCCCCATCCCGGCAGTCACCGGCACAGCTCCCTGGGCTCCGGGCTGGGCCCCCCCCTGGGCCGCCCCCTTTTTGGGGTTGGGGGTCTCGGGGCCTTTGGGTTTCCTCTTCTCCCGTTTGCGGTCGCGCTCCACGAACGTTCCCTTCATCTTGGCGATCAGGTCCGAGTCCGTCTTGGCGTACTGGATCCTCTGCCGCGGGGTGGGGGATTTGGGATCGTTGTGTGGGGTTTGGGATCGTTTTGTGGGGTTTGGGATCGTTTTATGGGGTTTGGGGGATTTGGGATCGTTTTGTGAGGGTTTGGGGGATTTGGGATGGTTTGGGGGATTTGGGATCGTTTATGGGTTTGGGGGATTTGGGATGGTTTGGGGGATTTGGGATGGTTTGGGGGATTTGGGATGGTTTGGGGGATCTGGGATCGTTTTATGGGGTTTGGGGGATTTGGGATCATTTTATGGTGTTTGGGGGATTTGGGATCATTTTATGGAGTTTGGGGATTTGGGATCATTTTATGGGGTTTGGGGGATTTGAGATGGTTTGGGGGATTTGGGGATGGTTTGGGGATTTGGGATGGTTTGGGGGATTTGGGATGGTTTGGGGGATTTGGGGATGGTTTGGGGGATTTGGGATGGTTTGGGGGATTTGGGATGGTTTGGGGGATTTGGGATGGTTTGGGGGATTTGGGATGGTTTGGGGGATTTGGGATGGTTTGGGGGATTTAGGATGGTTTGGGAGGATTTGGGATCGGTTTTATGGGGTCTGGGGGATTTGGGATCATTTATGGGGTCTGGGGATTTGGGATCATTTTATAGGGTCTGGGGGGGATTTGGGATCATTTTATGGGGTTTGGGTTGGTTTGGGATGGTTTGGGGGAGAATTTGGGATGGTTTGGGGGGGATTTGGGATGGTTTGGGGGGGATTTGGGATGGTTTGGGGGGGATTTGGGATGGTTTGGGATGGATTTGGGATGGTTTGGGATGGATTTGGGATGGTTTGGGGGGGATTTGGGATGGTTTGGGATGGATTTGGGATGGTTTGGGGGGGATTTGGGATGGTTTTGGTGGTGATTTCTGGAATTTAGGGTGCATTTGGGGCTGTTTTTGGGCCTCACCGTAGGTTTGTTGCACAAGGGGAAACCCTGGGCGTGTTTAGGGTGGATTTAGCGTGTGTTTAGGGTGTGTTTGGAGTCTCACCATGGGTTTATCGTAGAAGAGGAAGCCCTGGGTGTGTTCAGGATGGATTTAGGATGTGTTTAGGATGGATTCAGGATGGATTTAGGCTGGATTTAGGATGGATTTGAGCTCTCACCATGGGTTTGTCGTAGAAGGGGAAGCCCTGGGTGTCTCTGTGGATATTTTAGGGAGTGTTTAGGGTGGATTTAGGCTCTCACCATGGGTTTATCGTAGAAGGGGAAGCCCTGGGTGTGTTCAGGATGGATTTAGGATGAATTTAGGGTGTGTTTAGGATGTATTTAGGCTCTCACCATGGGTTTATCGTAGAAGGGGAAGCCCTGGGTGTGTTCAGGATGGATTTAGGGTGGATCTGGGCTCTCACCATGGGTTTATCGTAGAACGGGAAGCCCTGGGTGTGTTCAGGATGGATTTAGGGTAGATTTAGGATGGATCTGTGCTCTCACCATGGGTTTATCGTAGAAGAGGAAGCCCTGGGTGTGTTCAGGATGGATTTAGGGTGTGTTTAGGATGGATCTGTGCTCTCACCATGGGTTTATCATAGAAAGGGAAGCCCTGCATGGAGCGCAGGGCGTTGCCGGCGCTGCTGAGCTCCTTGAAGATGACGAAGGCCTGGCCCCGCATGCGCAGGCTGCGCGACACCAGAATGTCCAGGATCTGCCCAAACTGCGAGAAGATGGCGTACAGCGACTTCTTCAGCTCTGGGGAGCACAGAGGGGGCGTCAGGCACGGCTCATATGGTCATGGGACCCCCAAAACACTCATAGAGCCCTCACAGAGCCCTGGGACCCTCACACGGCGTACAGCGACTTCTTCAGCTCTGGGGGAGACAGAGGGGGGTCAGGCACTGCTCATATGGTCCTGGGACCCCCAAACACCTCACACAGCCCTGGGACCCCCAAACACCTCACACAGCCCTCACACAGCCCTGGGACCCTCACACGGCGTACAGCGACTTCTTCAGCTCTGGGGGGGACAGAGGGAGGTCAGGCACTGCTCATATGGTCCTGGGACCCTCAAACACCTCACACAGCCCTCACAGTGCTCTGGGACCCCCAAAACCCCTCACACAGCCCTGGGACCCTCACACGGCGTACAGCGACTTCTTCAGCTCTGGGGGGCACGGCCAGGGGGTCAGGCATTGTTCATACAGTCCTGGGACCCTCACACAGCCCTCACAGAGCCCCCACAGGGCCCTGGGACCCCCAAAACCCCTCACACGGCCCTGGGACCCCCAAACCCCTCACACAGCCCTCACACAGGCCCCAGAACCCTCACAGAGCCCCTGAAAGCCTCACACGGCCCTGGGACCCCCAAACCCCTCACACAGCCCTCACAGAGCCCCCACAGGGCCCTGGGACCCTCACACAGCGTACAGCGACTTCTTCAGCTCTGGGGGGCACAGCCAGGGGGGTCAGGCACTGTTCATATGGCCCTGGGACCCCCAAAACCCCTCACAGAGCCCCTGGAACCCTCACACGGCCCTGTGACCCTCACACGGCGTACAGCGACTTCTTCAGCTCTGGGGGGGACAACCAGAGGGGGTCAGGCACTGTTCATACAGTCCTGGGACCCCCAAATCCCTCACACAGCCCTCACACAGCCCCCACAGAGCCCTGGGACCCCCAAAGCCCTCACACAGCCCTCACAGAGCCCCCACAGAGCCCTGGGACCCCCAAAACCCCTCACACAGCCCTCACAGAGCCCCCACAGGGCCCTGGGACCCCCAAACCCCTCACACGGTCATGGGACCCCCAAACCCCTCACACAGCCCTCACAGAGCCCCCACAGGGCCCTGGGACCCTCACACGGCGTACAGCGACTTCTTCAGCTCTGGGGGGCACGAGGGTCAGGCACTGCTCATACAGTCCTGGGACCCCCAAAACACTCACAGAGCCCCCACAGGGCCCTGGGACCCTCACACGGCGTACAGCGACTTCTTCAGCTCTGGGGGGCACGGCCAGGGGGATCAGGCACGGCTCACACGGTCCTGGGACCCCCAAAATCCCTCACACAGCCCTCACAGGGCCCTGGGACCCCCAAAACCTCCACACAGCCCTCACAGAGCCCCCACAGGGCCCTGGGACCCTCACACGGCGTACAGCGACTTCTTCAGCTCTGGGGGACATGGAGTGGGGGTCAGGCACTGCTCACACGGCCCTGGGACCCCCAAAAGCTCTCACACAACCCTCACAGAGCCCTGGGACCCTCACACACCTCCTCGGACGCTCACACAGCCCCTGGGACCCCCAAAACCCCTCACACAGCCCTCACACAGCACTCACATGGCCCTGGGACCCTCACAGAGCCCTGGGACCCCCAAACCCCTTACACAGCCCTTACAGAGCCCTCACAGAGCCCTGGGACCCCCAAACCCCTCACACACCCTCTGGGACCCCCAAACCCCTCAGACACCCCTCAGACACCCTCCCACCCCCAAACCCCCCTCAGACACCCCCAGCACCCTCAAACCCCTCCGAGACCCCTCAACACCCTCACCCCCACCTCCAGGACCCTCCACGTCCTACGAGACCCCTCAGAGACCCCCCAGTTCAGGATGGGCCCAAACTGGGACAAAAGCCCACAGAGCTGAAGAAGGAGACAGGAAACCCCTCAGACACCTCCAGGACCCCCCAAATCCCTTCCAGAACACCCCAGATCCCCTCCAGGACCCCCCAAATCCCTTCCAGAACCCTCCAAACCCCTCCAGGACCCCCAAATCCCTTCCAGGACTCCCAAGCACCTCCAGGACCCCCAGATCCTCCAGAACCCCCAAATCCCTTCCAGGACCCCCAAATCCCATCCAGGACCCCCAAATCCTTCCAGGACCCCCAAAACCCCTCCAGGACCCCCAATCCCTTCCAGGACCCCCAAATCCCTTCCAGGACCCCCAAAACTCCCTCCAGGACCCCCAAACCCCTCCAAGACCCCAAAATCCCCTCCAGGACCCCCAAATCCCTTCCAGGACCCCCAGACCCCTCCAGGACCCCACAAATCCCTTCCAGGATCCCCCAAATCCCCTCAGGACCCCCATATCCCTTCCAGGAACCCCCAAATCCCTCCAGGGACCCCCAAACCCCTCCAGGAGCCCCCAAATCCCTTCCAGGACCCCCAAATCCCTTCCAGGGCCCCCTAAATCCTTTCCAGGATCCCCCAAACCCCTCCAGGACCCCCCAAACCCCTCCAGGACCCCCAAACCCCTCCAGGACCCCCAAATCCCCTCCAGGACCCCCAAACCCCCTCCTGGGCCCCCAAACCCCCTCCAGGACCCCCCAAAACCCTTCCAGGACCGCCCAAACCGCCTCCAGGAACCCCCAAATCCCTTCCAGGACCCCCAAACCCCCTCCAGGACCCCCCAAATCTTCTCCAGCCCCCTCCTCACCATCCTTCTTGATCTTCTCGTTGAGGTTGTTGATGTAAATGGTGTGGTTGGGACGAGGGTCCTGCACGGCCATGGCTGAGACCCCCGAAATCCTGCTGGGGGGCAAAGGGGGTCAGGAGGCTGAGACGCCAAAAATCCCTTCAAGGACCACCCCAATCCCACTAAGACCCCCTTAAACTCTCCCCAGTTCTCCTCAGCCCACCCAAATCCCCTCAGCCCCTCCCCAAACGCCCCCAGTCCCCTCAGATCCACCCAGGATCCCCCAAACCCCTCAAAGATCCCCCAAATCCCCTCAGACCCCCAAACCCTCCCAAACCCCCAGTGCCCTCAGATCAACCCAGAACCCCAAATCCTCAAAGATCCCCCAAATCCCCCAGACCCCAAACCAAAAACTCTCAAGATCCCCCAAACCCCCTGGAATCCCCCAACTCTCCCAAAACCCCTTTAAAGCCCCCAAAACTCCTCAGACGCCTCCAGGACCCCTCAAACCCCTCCAAGCCCCCCAAACTGCCCCAAATCCCATCAGACCCCCCAGCCCCCTCAAATCCCTCCAGGACCCTCAAATCCTCCTAAGACCCCTCAAAATGACCCCAAGACCCCCATATCCCCCTCAACGCCCTTAAACCCCCAAGCCCCCTCAGACGCCTCCAGGACCCCTCAAACTCCTCAGAGACCCCCAAAAGACCCCCTGCCTCCCCGTCAGGCCGCCCCAAAAATCCCACAAAGACCACCCCCACCCAAAAACTCCTCCAAACGACTCCAAAACCCCCAACCCCCTCAAGGACCCCCA